GGGGTCGAGGGTACCTGCCAGCTACCGTTTTACTTCAACTAGAGACAGAAAACTTAAACCCAAATAAACTTCGCTAAGAACTTGTCAGCGCCTAGCTTAGGTATAGAAGAGCATACAAGTTTGAGTAGTAAAAATATAAGAACGGGGGCATTATAAAAATATACTGGTATAGGTTTTATCTAACAACAAACAAAAAATATAAGAACAGGAACAAGATATAAAAGTATGGCTTGACACTTTGAATTTAACAAGTAGTCTAACTTTTATATGTGATTAAAATGGGGAAACGAGGTCGAGATAATAATATGCAGATGGGGAGAATAGTAAATAAAGCATAGCTAAAATTTTCTTACTACAGTTAAATATTCGACGAAAAACATACACAAATATATCGTGGTTTATCTCATTAATAATTATATAATTATCCCCTATGCAATAAACACTTTGGCATACATTTACAAAAAAAACACTTTAGTATAATGTATATGTTATATAAAAAAAATAAACGCGATTTTCTTTAAACCCCCTACAATTACTAGGTTAATTGATAATGATAAAAGGCAATTATGTAATCAATTATATTGTAAATGTTACCAGACTAGAATAATACTGTTATATATATAATACTATTATAAGAATGATAAGCATAGGATGGAAAATTCTATGAGGTTGGGAAATAGGGATTATAATGAAAGCGGGACTGGCGGCCATACATAATTGGTTTGTCTTAAGATCAAAAATAAGAGGCTGGCAGTTCTTTGTATCAAATAGTATAGCAGTAGGCCCACATATGATTCACCCCCCTGGCCCAATATATATATAATACTATTATATATAAATTCTATATATAATAAACCTTTTTTTTAATCCTTTTAAAGGAGGAAATAGGTAGGCGATGTTAAATCTCATTAATAAATAAATTTGAGTTAATAAAATAATTTTTAGAATCTTTAAAATAACTAATAAGAATAAGTTTTTAAAATGGAGATGGTTTCCATTCCAATATCATTAAGAGAAGCTAGCCCCTGTCACAATTCCTTTAATTTAAATCAAATTTAACTATATTTTTTTTTATGCAAATGCAGTATTGATCATATTTACATCGAATATATTGCATTTCTTTTATAATTATCAGAATTACCATTAGTATATAATATTTATAATCTTATTATTTTGTTGAAAATTATTTGTTTACTAAATCACCTTGTCAAAATTCAATTTGATTGATTCTTCTAAAATTGATCCTTTAAAACAATGAAGGTTTTTTTTGAGTAATACACTTCTGTATTGGGGAATTATCATTTTTTTTAATGTAAAAAATGATTTTTGTCTCCCCTATTTTTATCTCCTTACCTGTTCGTCCATTTTTAATCTGAATGCATGATGGATCATAATAACTATGATATTATTACCATTATATTGTACCCATTTGGAAATTCGATATCCTTATAGGGTCGGGTTAAAAAAAATCAGGCCTGGTTGTGAAACTTGTGGAAATTTTACAAGTTTTTTTAAAACTTAGAATACTGCAAATAAAAGATATTCTATTCCGGGGGAGGGAGGGGGGGGGGGTGGCGGCTTAGAATTTTATTTTTCAGACCGAGCTGAACAAAGAATTTTACGAGCTATGCCTAAAAATTCTTTCCCTAATTCGGTTGAGGCATCTTCTTTACTAATTTTATTTTTAGTGCCTCTTTTCTTTGTAATTTTAAATTTTATAAAACTATTTATTAGGTCTGGTCCAATTCATTAAAGGTACGCTTAAAATGTTTGCAATTGTAGAAGTATAAATTGGATTTTATTTCCTATCTTTGTAACATTCAGTTGTAGGATGGTGTTAAAAAAAGTGGACTGCCCCTAGGTTTAATATTCATAAATTTAAGAGAGCACAAGACAAAAATATATTTATTTTAATGATTTTATATATGTCGTAATTTTTAAAGCGATCATGACTATCCGGGATCTTCACAGGATTTAAAGGGATCCCTTTAAAATTTCAATTTTTTAAAAGATAAAGAACTATACGGCAGTATCACGTTTTAATCGTAATAAAGAGGAATCTTAATTTAAAAGCGTTTTCCACGAGTTTCGTTGCGTTTTTTAATTTTATTGTTATTAATTAATTTTCAATGTTGTTTTTTTTGGTCTTATGATATAAGATATGTCTAATATAGGGTAATCGATAGCTGATCAAAAGATCTATTCACTGGAGGTCAATCTCTCCCCCATAATGGGCCAGTATAGGTCTTGGGGGGTAAATATTTTTATCAACACAAAATATCGATATGGGTATCAAATAAAAGCTAATTTTAATATGGTTTGACTGAAAGTCTTCATTCTTGGTCTGGGTATGACTTGGTCTGAAGGAAGAGGAAGGTCGGGGAGGGAGGGGGGTGTAAAAAATAATTTTTTTTGATATGAGTATCAAATAAAAGCTAATTTTAATATGGTTTGACGGTAAGTCTTTATTCTTGGTATTGATGGACTTGGTCTGGGGGGGGGGGGTGGAGGGGGGGGTGTGTGTAAATAATATTTTTTTTGATATGGGTATCAAATAAAAGCTAATTTTAATATGGTTTGACTGAAAGTCTTCATTCTTGGTTTTGATGGGTATGACTTGGTCTGGGGGGTGGGGGGGGGTATAAAAAATAATTTTTTTTGATATGGGTATCAAATAAAAACTAATTTTAATATGGTTTGACTGAACTAATTTGGGAAAAATTGGTTCCCCATTTATAAAAACGAACGTTCATAAATCAAAAAAATTTACCAATTTTACCATTCCTAATAAGATCAACTCCATAATAACAGCATCAAGAAGTACATCTTCTTATGGTAATTTTAAATCAATTTGCAATTGCCAAAAAAGTTGCAACAATAAGAATGTAAATGTTTTAAAAATGGCATTAATTGTTCCACAAAATGTCACTTAAATATTATTTGTGTAAATAATAAATAATTGTTCATATATTTTAAATTAATTTTCAAAATCAATAAAATATGTTGTTGATTATATGGCTTGAAAAAAAATTATAATATAGATGATTTGCTTATAAAGAAGTGCAATAATTTATAACTGCAATAAGAAAAATTTATGTCATAAAACTTGTGAATCGATGGTTTCAAATATAACCGAAATTTTGAAATTTAAAAATTACAAATTAGATTAAGTTGCTAGCAAATAATTTTATCATTAAGCTACAATGAGTTTATAAATAATGACTATATTTAACCCCTGCTTATAATTGTATTTATGAAGTCTAAATGTATTTAACTTTTATTTAATACCCATGTTTATGTTCTGCGTTAATAATAATATTCTTTACATCTTAGGATGCCCGCTTAACCTGATAAAATTAATATAATAAAAAGATTTTTTAATTACTATTTATTAGATACCCATAAAAATTCACTATCTTATGGCCAGTTGAAATATAGTAAGTTTAGACTATGCCAGAATAAACTCATCTAACTCAAAAACTATTATAGATGCTCTAATTTTTTTTTAAAAATTAAGAATTGAGCTATACATATTAATTTTTGGTTGATATATTACCTTTAAATGTTTTCTTAAGTTGAAGCAACTAGTCTTGTTTGATGATAAAACCTCGACCACATCTTACAGGAAAATTTATACCCTGTGTTAATTTTTATCGAAATTAAAATAATTTGTGAATTAAAGAAAAGGAAATTCCTTATCATCTTCATTTTCAAGGGATATTACTTTGTCGATATGATCTGTACCAAAATTATTTTCATTATCATTCTCTACTGTCGACATTTAAAAATTTTTATTTTTTTGAAAAATATATTTACAATGCATATTTTTAAATGTAAATTTAAATTTTAAAATAAAATTAAATTAAAAGATTATGATTTTAGAATTAATTATAAAATTATTATAATAATTTTTCCTATTTATTTAGTAACGAGCTACCGTTATCTCTCTTTTTAAAAAAATGTTGCACGCTAATGATATCGATACTAAAAAAAATAGCTATGGAATATTGTGCTACACTGCAAATTATATATTTCAAGTTCAGGATTGGAACCGAAAAAAGATTTAAAAAATTGTTTTATCTTCATTCTCTTTTATTTCTGTAAATTCTATCCAACTAGACATTTTGTTAATATGTTGAGGGCCTGGCAATCATACCCATCAAGACAAAAAATGAATACTTTCAATCTAAAGATATTTGTGAGCTTTAATTTGATACCCATATATATATTTTATGTTGATAAAAATATTCCTCACCCTCCAAGACCTAGACCCGCCCTCTATGAGTGATTATTATTATTACAATAAAAAAAATATTTTACCATATCAAAAAAAATTTTACACCCCCCCCCCCCCCATCTACCCCCACCTCTTACAGACCAAGTCATACCCATCAAGACCAAGAATGAAGACTTTGATCAAACCATATTAAAATTAGCTTATTTGATACCCATATCCAAAAAAAAATTTTTTTACACCCCCCCCCCCCCCTCAGACCAAGTTATACCCATCAAGACCAAGAATGCCAAGAATGAAGACTTTCAGTCAAACCATAATAAAATTAGCTTTTATTTGATACCCATATCGATATTTTATGTTGATAAAAATATTTTCGACCCCCCAAGACCTAGACCCAATTATGGGGAGGAGAGATTGACCTCCAGTTGAATAGATCTTTTGATTAGCTATCGATTGATACCCTATATTAGACATATCTTATATCAAAAGGCCAAAAAAAACAACATTGAAAATTAATGAATAACAATAAAATTAAAAAACGCAACCAAACGCGTGGAAAATGCTTTTAAAATAAGATTCCTCTTTATCACGATTAAAACGTGATAATACTGTATTATCATTCCTTAACTTAAAACCCTAATTTTTTATCTCTTTAAATCCCGTGAAGATCCCGGATAGTCATGATCCCTTTAAAAATTACGACATATATATATAAAAATGACTGAAATAATATTATATGTACTATTTTTTATTGTAATAAAAGTTTATATCGCATCCTAGTTGCCAACAACAACTCTCCATATTTTGGTATCGAGGCTTTACCTTTTGGCAACATTGTAATTCGATGGGAAAAATAGCTATAGTCTTTCTAGTAGGAATTTTTATCCCTTTACTGGCACTGGGGTATTACATCGTGCCTATCAAGCAAGTTAGTGAAAGTATTAAAGTTTTTGTTAAATTAAAATTATACTAAAAAAAATTATTTGGAGAGGTTTTTTTGCCCCCACCCCCTATTTCTGAAATTCAACACTTACTGACCTTGAATCTGGAATTTTTTTAAAAATTTTCATATCCTAGTGTTAAAATATTATTTAAGATAAATTGTGAAAGTAAATAATTCAAGAATTAATGCTTCACAAGCTTTAAAAAAAAATTTGAATTATTTGGAAAAAGTTTCGTAGATTTTTGCAAAGTCCTATTATGAATTTTATGATGCATGCCATGTCTCACGTGATCTTTCTTCTACTCCTGGGGCTTTTGAGTGTGAGAAATGATCAGCTGTTTCGACAGATGTTGGGTTTACCACCGTTGGCAACATACTTAAACGATAACACCAAGGAAGAATTACATGAAGCTCAATACCTATACTTGTTCGGCATAATTCATTTGTTAGTCGTGCTGTGGGTTATAGGTTATTTAAAATAATTTGAAATAATGTAAGGCACGGGGGGGGGAGAGGGGAGGTAGGATCATTAAAATATAAATATATATCTACATACGGTTTGTGCTTTCATTTATATATGAAAATCTTACTTAAAATTAATTTTAAAATTCTCTGCCATATTTAAAAGGTTATTTGGTCAATGAAGTGAACCAGATTTTCAACGAAGGACCTGTCAATTATCTCGCTGATTGGTGGAATTACTTAGATTTTAATCTCATTCTTCTCTACGTTGCCGCTTACGCTACACTCTTCACCATATACTTCAAAACTTACAATGCAATTAATTTCACGACCTTTCAAGACTTTTTGGCCGATATTGAGGGCCGCAATGGAAAAAGATGTAAATTTTTTTGTTATCCTTGTCGCACCTTTTATCCAAAACCCTCTAAACCCCTCTTTCTGCTCACTATCCTGCCGATAATATGAAACCCTCCTCTCCATGAAACTAAAATATAAAATGGATACTTACTATGTTTGTATGCAGGCGCCTTCTAGAATTTTATTGATGCAATTGATTCATAACCCCTCGTGTTAGCGGCACTACTTATAACTCTTGTCAGAACTTCACCTAACTTTTCCCAACTTTAATGCAGCTTAGTTAAGCTTTTAGCCTAAAAAGGTGAATTTAAAGCTCTGAGTTGAGCCTCAATTTGAAGATCGAGACCAATAATTTTAGTATAAAAACTTGGCTAAGTCATTTTGAAGTTAGCCTTAAGTCAGGTGCAACACGAATTCAAATTATATTATCCATGATAAATAAGGTCGAAATCTCAATATTCATAAAATAATATTTTACCCATACATGCTCGTGTAATTTATAATAAAATATAATATATAGCCGAATCCTTAGAAACACCTGTAGCTATTTTCAACGTATTCTTCTCTTTCGCAAACGTAATGAGTTTCATGCGTATGGCTTACTTTTTACCCGCTAACGAGCAAGTCGGTCCATTGCAAATTAGTCTGGGCCGGATGCTGGAAGATATAGTTAAATTTGGATTTATTTTCGTGCTAGTTTTGACGGCCTTCATTTGCGCTATGACTAATTTGTATGGAATGTACAGTAAAGAAGGATCGAACGACAGTTTTACATCGTAAAATATATTATTCACTGATATATAATATGGTTTAACTAAAAGGGAGGGTAGTGCATTTTAAGTCAGTTGATACAGCAAATTAGAGGTCGGCCTATCCTAAAGCCCGCACGCTATCTTCGGGCTGGACTTGTAACTTAAAAATTTAAAATTACACGGGCTAGTTTGAACCTTCGCACCAACCTCTAATAGAAAGATAATTAATACTCTTCGTATATCTTGTTGGTTTATTCAATTTGCAAAGTATTTTGCGTCAATAAATAAATTATTTTTATTATTTGTATATATATAGACTGGAAGGCACTTTCAGGATACTCTTTTGGTCTACTTTCGGCATGGGTGAACCCAACGCTCCTAAATTCGATAATAAATCAAGGATTTTCATCCAGAATTCGGGTTATATTCTTTATGGAATGTACACAGCTACTTCAATAGTCGTACTCGTTAATATGCTCATAGCTATGATGACCGATTCATTTCAACAAATCAAAGTTTTTTTGCCTTCCTTTTTTGACAATATTCAAAATTGCTACAGGATAAGTTATTAATTTAAAAAAAATATATTGATTCCCTTTTATCTACTTTTTGGCCAATCCTTTATATTTACGACGATACTTATAGCCAATACCCTTATCATTTTAAATCTCCCAATCAAAGAAATTTGGAATAATACCTATTAAAATTTTTTGCATTTTTCAATTAACCCCAATTTTTTTATTTGTTTTAATTGTTTTAAAACCGACTTGGGTTTTCAAAATTTTAGCATTTTACACCCCTATTAGGATTCTTAAAATTTTGCCACTCTATATAAATTTGATAACAAAATAGGAAATATAGGAAATGAATGAATCTCAAATATTTTTTATCAACTAGTTAATTTGATATCATCATGGTACAATAGGGTTAAAATCTACTATTTTACGACTAAGATTTCTTATAGTTTGGAGAGTTATTGGTTAGATTTAGTTTATATTAAGAATAGGTTTTATATTGTAAATAAAATTTGGACGTTTTTTAGAAAATTGCTATCATGATGATGATGTTATGTAAATTAATCGACTTCATAGCCACTTAAATATTAGTTTCTAATAATACAAAATTTTGAATAAATATAAACTAAACTAAATAGACATATTTAAATTTTATAAAAATTAAAAAGATTTATATTTCTTATTGAGATATTGAATCCATAGGAGTTTGGAATCTTTCAATTTGAAGACTATTTTTAAAAGGGTTTTGATTTGATCACAAATATATTCCAAAATCTGTAGAATACATACCTTATAAATTTCAGTTTTTCCCATCAACTATGAAAATCAATATAAAAATTAATATAAATTAAAAATAGTTCAAACTTTCTCAGCAAAATTTTCTGAAATATACAGTGTTACCTTATTCATGCTGGAATATTTTCCTGGTCAAGCAATTTTCTAAGTTAAATATCACTTTTAACAGATTTAAAATAGAGAAATTCATAATTTTTAGGTATACCATATCTCAATTACGACATATTCTTAATTTTGACAATTTTTTGTCTTTTAATTTATATAACGTCAAAAAATTTGACAAAGAGCATTTATAATAAAATAATAAATATTTTGAAAATTATTTTTTATAGCATAATAATAAACATTTTGACAATTATTTAGCATTTATAATATAATTATAAATACTTTATCTGGTAATGGGAGAAAATTTGTGGAAAGAAATTACAGGTAATATTTAGAGTCAAGAATCTTATTAATTGCGCATGTATATCCAGTAGGTCAATATTTATGAGAGATAAAGAACATGTCACTAGTAGTACAATATCCATTTGAACCGATTTTTATTAACGGCTAACTCAATATTTTCGTCAAAAATATTGCTTAAGTATCGAGATATTTCTACTATATGTTCAAGCCTTTGTGCTATTTATGAGCAATCTACAGACTAACAAATTGGCCCGAAAGCCAGTCAGAATTTGGTGGCTTAGTTCAGGTTCATAAATTTAATAAGCCGGTTATGGCTGGGTTTTAAAAGTCAGCAGGGAATTAAAAAATATATAAAGAATCTTACAAAAATAGAAGATGATATTGCTTCCTCTAGAATTAGGATAATAAATAAGCGATTTTCTCATTTTTGCAATAAAAAAAATCAATATTTTAGACTTGTGATTAAAAACAATATCGCAAAAATTGGAAATCCCTGCCACCTGACCCCGGTCTCCCGTAATAATAAAAATATTTATATTAAATAAACCATTGCCCATGAGAAATAACGCTGAAAAATAGCTAGAACACCTTAGATAACGCTATTAAACCCCAATTTGGAAAGATATAAAATAAATATTTTTTAAAAGGAATTTTAACTAATTTCATATATGTTCGGTGAAGAAATTAAACACAGGAACATGTACAGCTCAGCCCACACAATAAATATTTAATTCGAGCCGTGTTACTTATGCACAATTTTTGTACCGGGCCATTATTTTAAATTTTATTTAAACCTTGAATAATGCAAATTTATGATTTTCTCTTTAAAATAAATTACTATGTACCCGAGAAAACCCCCATACTGGCTATGTGAAAAAACTTGCGATCTATTTAGTTGAGGCTTCAGCCTAAGAAGTAAGAGATTAAAAACAAGAAAACGAGAAAAAAAATACGGAAATAAAAATGCCGCAAACGTTTAAAACAAGTCAAAATAGGATGTCATAGTTCAAAAGCTATTTGTCTATGATTAACAGAAATAAAAGCTTTTATTTTATTTTCAAATATATATTTTAAAAAAAATCTGAAGTTATTTTTCTTAAATTTTTTCTTCCTGCAGTTTTTTTTCCCTTGAGATTTTTTATCCACAATCTTTATTCCTTTTTTTCTTCCGGCATTTTTTTTCCTATAGTTCTTTTCCATGTTTTTTTTTACCCTGCAGTTCATTTGGCTTTTTTTTCGGGATTCGCTTTTATTTACCTTTCATACCTTTCCCCCTCCTTTGCATTCTTATATTTTAGTTCTTTTTCCATCGTACAGGATGACGAAGACGTTGAATGGAAATACGCCCGTTCTAAGCTTTGGATGTCCTTCATCCAAGAACGCGAATATTTGCCTATCCCCTTTAATTTGCTTCCATCGCTCGATTTCTTGAGTGGAATTTTATTTGCCGTGGCTGAACTTGTAAAGCACACCAGTTTATTTATAATGCGAAAAGCGTCATTTCATCGAGGTGCTAATGACCCCAAGATTTTCAATGTAAAATTACATTTTAAGAATCGTAAATTAGAGTATTAAAATAAAACTTTATTATAAATTTGAATTTCTTACAACAGCATCTTAAAATCAAAGTTACATTAAATATATTAACTATTATAATACTTAAGTGTTAAATTTGAAGTCTAAGTATTTTTATAAATGTACAATTTTAGGGAAATCCTAAATAGCGAATCAGTAATTGGAGTTCAACCAATTTTTGATTATTTTAAAATATAATTTAGTTACTTTTATATTTTTTGGATAACCTTATCTTCTAATTCATATTCTTTATTTTAAGACATCAAAATTATTTTTTCTATATAGTATAAATAAATTAAGAAATCTCGGGGAAAAAAGCCTGTAGAAAAAAAAACTTTGACCGAAAAAAACTGGGAAAAAAACACGTGACAGAAAAAAAACTGCAGAAAAAAATTTTAAGGAAAGAGAAAAACTTAGGAATAAATAACTTGGGGAAAAAATCTCAAACAAAAAAATATCTAATAAAACAAGCAACAAAAAAATACCATCTTTTAAATGGAGCATTTTTTAAGGTGACTATTTATTGGTAAATTTAAATTGGTTGTAATTATGTCTGATGATAAGATTAATGTTAAAAAATAAGTGGAAATTAAATTATTATATTTATTTTTAAATGAAGAATTTCTTTTATCTTAAATTAATTAAGATTTTTCTTTTACAGCTTAATTATTAATTTTTTTTAAAGTTTGCAAAGTTTTAAACATTTGGGTTCAGGATATTTTTTGAACTTGTAACAAATCGAAATCTAAAAAACATTTGACCCCGAATCCTTATTTTTTAAAACCGAATTAAAATCCAAAACTTAGTGAATATTTGTACAATTTTTATTAAAAAAATATAAAAATTATTAGAAAATGATTATTAATAAAAAAAACTGTCCCCAGGCCGATTTCGAAATATAATCTTGAATTATTCTGACTTCTGCAGGTATCTGAAATAAAACATAAATTAATTTTTTATATCAAGAACTTATACAATTTAAATTAATCAACAAATAGTTCCAGTCTATCTAAAAGATAGTAGTTTTGTTATATTTTTAACTATATATTTATTTTAATTAATAGAGATATTTTTAAACATTTTCTCTAGTTTCAGGCATTTTCCCCTCTATTTATTTTCCGCAGATTTTATTCCTATTTTTTTCTTTAGTTTTTTTTTCTTCAGTTTTTTTGTATATTTTTTCCTTGAGTTTATTTTTCAGTTTTTTTTCTCACAGGTTATTTTCTCTATTGCAATGAAGTTCTAGATAAAACTGTAAATTCTATTATTTAGAAAAATCGGAAATTAGCATTGACCAATGGGCTGAACCGGGAAAATATGCGGGATGGAATTATTGACGAAAAATATGATGTAAGTCAACTGGGTGGCTTTCCATTTATTAAAGGAATAGTAGATAATTTTTTAAGGGATCAGGTTTAAATTTATATGTAAACTTCATATCATATGTTTTTAAAAAAAATCACAATGTTGTTATAAATACTCCTTCTATTCAACTTATGCCAGCATAAATAGATTGCTTGGGCTCCGGCCCATGCATATGGGGGAGCAGGCTGGGCAGTGTCTTTGGCTGCCAAAATGATCAAATTTTGGTTCTTGTGCAATGATTTTTTATTAAATTTCCTTTTTTCAATTATATTTGCATATCCTTTTTACTAATTTAGAATTTCCCTTTTTTTTGTTAATTTATTAATTTTCATATTTCCCTTTGTTAATTTTGGCTTGGATTTTTTCTTAGAACTTATGTAAATCGGGGTTCTTAAAGAGATACCAAATTTACTTTTGCCCCTTAGCGTCAAGGTCTCTGATAAAAATTAAACTTTATTTATACTAAACAAGTCATTTATGTAAATTGATAAAAATTGGATTTTTAATTTATTATTAAATCGGTAGATTATGATGAGAAAAATTATAAGACGTTATTTGCACGCAATTCTGTACACAGGAATTCCCCAAAATGAAGGTATTCATTTATTATAATTTTAACTCATCAAAGTTAAGTTATTTAAAAAAACTATTTATTAATCACATCTTAATAAAAAAAATATATAATATTACATTATTATTCCAATAAAATGCATGAAAATATATAAAGAATTAAAAAGAAAGTATCTATGATAGTTCCTTCAGATAGCGGCCCATCGGTGAGACTAATTTAATTTGCCGTGAGAGTGGCTATAGCTTTAGTTAGCCTCTGCCTCAAATCAGCCTTCATAAAATGTATCTCTGTTTACCATAGGATGTGTTTGCCCCTAGATTTCTAAAGAAAACGACAGGGGAAAATTTGCCAGAAGTTTTAAGAGGGGTAAAAATGATAGATATGGAAATATTACCCTTAGAGATTTTAAAATTTTTGGCGATATTTTATTGTTTCTTTCACTCAGCAAAGTTCGCTGTTTAGTTGGAAGGCGCCAATGCTAGAATAGTTCTAGCTAATACAATTCTTTGAATATTTCAGAAAGGGGGGTAGGTAATGTAGGTAATTATAAAAACTCTATTGATATTTAAATAAAGTTGTGAGGTTGTAGGGGGGGGGGGTAGAGGGTTGTTTTAATTTGAAGTTGTTTTTTCGTCTTTTTTACTAATTATTTGGTAGAAGGGGATAGCGGGTAGAATATTTAAAAAGGTAAAATCGTCATTGGCTTAGAGGGATGTAGAAGTCTCTGCACATTAATTTTGAAAGAGTTAAGTCAGGTGAAGATTTAATGTCTAATCCTCCTTTGAGTGGGAGACAGATCTCTAGGTAACCTACATACTTTGTCTAAGTGAATATATATTTTTGGGGATATGGCTATCCAAAATTTGTTTATTGCTGGAAAACATTTCGTATGCTGTATCATTGATATCATTAAGTTAAAAAGTTTAGATTAATGACGCTACCTTTTGTTTTGTTTTGTCTTAAATTAACCCAAACCAAATATTTGTTTATTCTATAAAATTAGTTATTTGGTTGGTGTCATTTTAAATACATATTTGTAATGTCTTTATAATTTCTAAGGATCATTTTTAAAAATTGGGTGAAATTTAGTTAATAGGAATGATACTTTGATAACATCATTAAAAAATATAAGAAAACATATGCCTAGCTATCCATTGTTATAAACTATTTTCCCATTATTTAATTTGTACAACAAGGAGGTCTATCCTAAGTACATATAAGTATTTTAGGGGATGAGGGGAATTTTTTTTCTTCAAAACTTTTTTAATATGATGAATGTTTTCATTAGAAGATTTGAAATCCTGTATCACTCATCCAGAATATTAGAAAAATTGGCCAAATATATTTAAAAGCTAGAAATAAATAAAATATTTTTGCCCATCTAAAAGAAACTATAGATTTTCAGAAGTTTTAGTTAATGAAGGAAATTTAATTATTATAAAAGAACAGTGTGATGTGATAGGGGAAATCTCATTTTAAAAAATTCAAATACTGTATATAACAATTTATTATATTTATTTATCTTTTAAAATTAAATTTAATGTGTGATAGACGTAATATTAGATATTTTCTTTTAATTAGGAATTTAAAGAATTTATTAAATAAAATTTTAATTTTAAAAACTTTTCAAATTAGTCAAAATATAAATTATAATATAATGTAAAATCTAGCCTATAGAATAATTTTATCAAGAGCTTTATGTCTCATTTGTAGTAGATGCGATTTGTTCAAGCGGTGCTTAATGCGTCATATTATATTATCTTACCATAAAGCTCATCTACTTATCTAAATATTTATATTACACCCAATATTGTTGATAATGAAGTGTCCTGTAACCCTACATTCACAGTTAAAAAAATAAATATCAAATATGAAATATGAAATCTTTATTATTTATTGAAAATTCGTTCAAAATTATATCTTTTAATACTATTTAGATCAAAATATGTCACCAATTAGTATATTTGGGGTTCCAAAGAGCACCGTTAAAAGTGCTTAACGACAACTCAGAATTATTATGAAAGATGGTTATTATCATTCCCGATTTTTTTAATTTTCACTTTAAAAAAACACCTTTAATTTTGAGTAAAACTCATAATATAAACCCCCCCCCCCTTTTTTATGTTATCTGCTTAAGGTGACACGATTGACATTAAATACGGTATGCTAAAGCAAGCTAACGAAAAAATGAAGAGCGACATCAATGAACTCAAAGGTATGCTTGCAGAGTTTATAGACAACAAATATTCCAGCAACATGTACCCTAGGAGATCTTTTAACATAGGAGGAAAGGATCTCAACATGAAACTTTGAATCAGAAATCATTTTCGTTTCCCACTCGATTTTCATAAAATATTTCGATTATATTATAGTGATGGATTTTAATTGCTCGATATATTAATTATATATATATATTTACTAACTATACACCCACTCACCCTAAAATGGAAAATAAAAAAAATATTTTGGTTGGAATCTCGATATACTTAGAAAAAACTATTTTAATATAATTTTCAAATGTGCGAAATTTAAGACGGGGTGAGATAGAATGAGATGGAATGGGAAGGGTAGAGAATAATCAGCTATATTAAAATTTTAGAATTATGGCTTCATAATCTTAACTGGGGAATTAATATTAGGTTAAATTATATTTTCAAGAGTCTAATATAATTTGATATGTTAAATATAAATCATGGAATCATACATGAGCTACTTTTTGGAATGTTATATTTTCCTTATTGTTCCAGACAAGTTGGTGCCTCTTAAATGCTTTACCATAATTTTTCAAATAGAACATACCTTTGACTTTGTCTAACTAGTCAGTTCATAAAAATCTCACCAAGAGTATCGATTTTTTATTCATAATCTTGCTTTTGAACATATTTTATCTTTATTTTCTATTAAAATGGGCCAAATTTAATGAATTGTTAAATCGACGAGCATATTAATTATTTATAAGGAAAAATTCGAGGAATAATGTATTGTATAATATTAATTAATAATGTGATAAATGTTAAATAGGAGAGAATTAAACGAAGTAACTTTTCTTTGACAAAATTTGGAAAAAGGAGGAGGTGAGAAGGGGGGGGGGGGTAAAAATAATTTAAAAAAAGGAATTAAAATAAATAATGTAGATATTCAAATATAATAATGAACTTTGCCAATACTCTTTCTAATGTTTTGGGTTGATAAAATATTTACACATTCATTTACAAATTATCGATGGAACATTTTCTACTAATCTGATATTCATAAGTGAAGTTATAGATATCATGTTTATAATCGTTTGCAAAATTTTTTTAAAAAATATTTGTACAAAAATAAGTTGCAAAATATTATTTATTAAAATCTCTTGATTCTTTTTTCCTTTGTTTGGTAGTTTTTCCAGGTAAATTATATGATAATTTATATATTAATTTTAGGTAAACCATATTTATTAAATAAAATAATTCTAAAAAAGAAGTGGAAAATAAAAATTTGGTATTACTTTATAACCGAAATATCTTAGAATAAAGACTTTTACAAAATAGGATGGATTTATACCATTAAATATTCTTCATCAAAGGTATGTTTAAATTATTATATTTCTGATAAAAATTTAAAAACCAGCTTATATAATATCTTTTTTAAATATTTTATTAAAGTATTTATTATAATATTTAAAAAATAACGAATTGAAATATTTACAAAAAAAATATATATAATAATTATTAACTACGGAAATACTAAGATAAAAAAAATTCTACAATTAATTATAATCCCAAAACGACAGCCTAGGCATATCTAAAAATTTCAATTTGAATTTTTTACCTATAAAAAATATCATGGTCTATTTTGTAAAGTGGCGTTTGATTTTAAGGCCTAGGGTTTTTAGAAATTTAAAAATAATTGGGATAGAATGGTCATTTGTTTATGTTACTATAGGGCTAAAAAATAAATTTAATCTGATTATTATATTTGTTGATTTTTTTTTGTTTCGATCAAAATAAGAAGATTATGAGCTTATATTTGAAGGGAATGACAACTTGCATAATTATAATCTCAGGTAAAATTTTTCCGGACTCCTGATTGTAGCTATGCCATCTGGTCTTAGGCTGCCCTCAGACGACAGGTTAGATGATTCTATGGTATTTGAAACGTGAGAAACTGTTAAAGCTCTATTTATTATGGTTAATAACTGCGTGCAATTGTGCCTTCCCTGAATGTAAAGAGAGTTGAGACTAGAGATCTGTAAAACCCGGTTCGGCCCATTTTTAAAAAATAATTATGGTTCGAGCACGGTCGGGCATAATATTTTATAAAAAATTCGGGCCGGGCAAGGTCGAGTTTAAAATTTTAAATAAGATATCATTAAATTTGATGAAACAAATTGATATTTAATATTCTTGCAAGAAACAAGGCGTTAATATTTTTTATTTGTAGAATTTTTTTTTACAATAAAAAAAATTAAATTTTTCTATATATAAATAAATTCGTACCGGGCCTGGCCGGGTAGACAAATAATCTTTATTTTTATTTCGGGTCGGGCTTTTCAGACAAATAAAAAAATTATCGTTTGAGATAGGGCGGGCAGGATAAATTTTTCAAAAAAAATTAGGCTGAGCAGAATTTGAGAAATTAGTCCTGATACAAATCTCTACCGTGCCTAATATTTAAAAAAAAATCAGGGACAGGCTTAAATCTTAAAATATATTATCAGAATTTTGTGAAATAAATTAATATATTTTAAAATTTTTGCAAGAAACAAGGCGCCAATATATTTTATCTGTTAAAAAAATATTAAATTTTCTAGTAAATTTAGACAGGGCCGGGCGGAAAAATAAAATTTTATTTCGTGACGGGTCGGGACATAAATAGTAAATTTGTTAGGAATCTGGCTGGTCGAACAAATATGAAAAGGTTTTGGGCCGAGAGGGTTTGAAAAATTAGGCCCGATGTAGATGCCTAGTTTACACCTTGTCTTCCCTTGGAGTCTACCAACCTATTGCATTTAACAAAAGTATGAGGTTGAGTAATGCCCCAACCAACCCCAGTGTCAACTCTTAACTATTATCTAATAAGGGATTACCAAGATAACGATTAAGTAGTGCTTCTAGCCATTTATGCCCTCCGATTTTTCAATCTATAAAGAAGCTGTATATATTTCATAGGTGGGTTAATAAATGTCTTTATCTATGATAAGTGTATATAGGGTTTCTAATGCTATGGTTAGGTGAAATAAAGCATTGTGGGCAAAATAGTTTTCCAAATTTGATAGCTTGTCCAATAAACGATCAGAAAGGGGATATGAATCCTGATATATTTGAATTTTTAGGGAGATAAGAACGAGGAATTATTTAATGATTTAAAGGGGGAAGAAGTCGAGACCTCTAAATTTGGTGGTAATTTAAAAGTGATCAATTTAAATTTGCTAATTCTATGTTTAAAATTTAACCAATGAAGGTTTTGAATATGTTATTAATTATTTTGATTTAAATTTCGAAATAATGCTGAATTTCGAAATATTCGTAAATATTTTGGGATATATAAACATTTTCTAAATATAGGATTGATGCGTCAGGAATTTAGGTAAAAATGTTTTCCAGGTTGTAAAAAATAGGGAAATTTTATTTAGGAATTCTTCGACATTTTAATGTCTAAGGAGAGGGCCTAGAGTTAATTTATTGGAATTGAAGGTCTAAATTTTAAAATAATATTTTAAGTCAGCTACCAAATTATGGATTAAAATTCAAAGCAGAATAGGTTCCCAAGGAATCAAGGATTTTAAATGGAACTTAAGGGAAATGATCCCATATGATGAATCGATAAATTTAGCGTAGCAAGGAAAATTTCATATAAATGACCTTTAGGAAGGTATTACATTTCAAGATATTAAAGTCGGTTTTAAAACCCAATCTGTTTATCAAGGGGTCTAAAATTGTGTAAATTCAAAAAAAAACTTCCCCCACCTCCCACTTCCACAGTGTAAAAGTTAGCGAGCTTGTCCTTATTAACTATTTAATTTTGGGCAGTTGCGTTCACGCGTTATTTACTATGTAAGTTTACCAGGACCCGGAGAGAACAAGACTGAACCGTTATACCGGCATGAACCTTTATAATTTCTTTAAAACTTAGTCATGAACTAGCCTTTATATATAATTTAAAGGAACGAAACAATTAACCAAGAACCAAACGTCATATATCTATTCTAAAAAAATCTATTTTTTTTATAAATTGGAATATTTGTTATTTAACTAACTCAGGGGCGTACTGGCCATATGACCCGGTGGGCATTTTGCCCACGAGGTTGCAAGAAAATGTCGATTTTTGAGGCCGATCAGAGGAAAATATCAAAATAGAGGCCGATTACAAAAAAATTATTATTATGTTCACATTATTTTCTCTTATCATTTATTTATTTTTAATAATATCTCTATGATTTGAATATCACATTCCTTGAGAATTGTCATGTCGTTTACTACATTTTAATTCATAATATATCAAAAACGTCGCTTGACGCTACACATTATTACCAAGTTCTTTTCTTTGTTTTTTTTTCAAATGAAGTGAAAATGCTTCCGTTTGAGTAGAGTGAAAGCTAAGTTTTGATTAATTTATTATATTATATTTTTATACATTGATTTATTAGAAATAATATAGCCAAACTTGTTCTTAATTAATTGAAATCAAATAAAATCCAGGTCGGAATCAGATAAAAAGATGGATGCTTGGGTAAAATAGAATAATTCATCTGGCCAAAATAAGTTGAAGGCTGTAAAAAATAGATGAGATACACGTGAAAAAACCCTTAGATAGATATATGGTAAAGAGAGCTTGCTCCCAATAACGATAAATGCACTTCGATTTATAATAGATAATAAATTATTTGAGACAAAAACTTAATAATTTATGTAAATTTAAGACTCTTGGTACAGCTATAATATATTTGGAAAATTTTGAAATAATGTGGCTACTGTCATATCTATAAACTAAAAAATTAGGTACTTTGTCAGCATGGTAAATGATAGAAGATGCTAAGTCTTCTGTATCATCGATTCAAAATAAAGCAAAGAAATGGCTTCTAATTTAAATGAAACACTTTCATATTAAAGCTCCCGGAGAGTATCAGGGTACAGAAAGCTCTGCCAAAAATTGAATAGGACGAGCGAAGAGAATATATAGTGATAAATGCCAAGATGAACATCCCCAAGAATCGATTGTCCTTTATAAGTTCGAAGTATTTCGTCCTATAATTGATCAAATTATAAACAGCTTTTCGGAACGGCTTTCTGCGAATTGAGAGCTTATTTTGAATGTGCAATAGCATCCAAGACATTTTGATGAAATAAATAGTAAAGGTATTTCTGAAAAGGCCTTGGAAAAACTGGCACAAATGGCATATATATTGAATGTTAAATTACGCAACGAATTATGTTCATTTGCCAGTGTATTCAAAGATTTGGTAGCAGAATTAAATGAAACGGAAGATGATATCGTATGTACAAGTGAGGAGTCAAATGAAGAAGATGGAATATCAGAATATGATAATAACTCAGTGTGATAATAAATGTAACAAGTGTTCAATATGCGTGTATGAAATTCTTAGATACAATATGCACACGAGTGCATTCACTAATTTTTGGCATATAAATATATTTTAACTTTATCGTTTCCGCAGGTTAATTGCGAGAAATCATTTAGTAAATTAAAAATTATAAAAATAAGCTGAGAGCTAATATTGACCAAGAAAAATTAGAGGCGTTTTTAATGATATCAGTTGAACGAGAACTATTAGCGTAGATTGAACTAGAAGATATTCCTGTATATTTGCGCAAAGGTTCAAAGTTAATGAGAGATTTATTTACGTAAAATTATATATTTTCTTAATTCTTTTATTAGAATCTTATTAATATTATTTACAATATGATCGGTGTAGGATTTTTAAGTGCAGAAATTTTATTCTCTGTAATATTGTATAACTGCAATAATTTTATATTTATAATTAATTGATTTAATATATTGAGTATACATTTTTTTTATATTTAACTTGTGATGTATGTTTTGATTTTAATGTGCAATATCGTTGTAAATCTAATATAAAATATATATTTTCAATGAATATTATTTTATATAGGTAATGAATATGATTTTAGTGCATTTTTTTAAAATAAAATATATGATTATCGTATAATACTTTTATTTTACTAAGCATGTAAAATGTTTGAACTTATTTTCAAAAAATAAGAAGTAATAATCATTTAAATCAAAAATGGGGGTATGGGGGCGAAGCCCCCATATAAATGAAACTGCTATAAAAAAATGCCCACGAGGCCGTAGCGTCGCCAGTCCGCCCCTGAACTAACTAATACGAACAAATATTAAATATTTGTAGGGAATAAAATACGAATAATAATTAAATATGTCATATGATTTTTTTGAGGCCCATTGGTTAATAGCCAATCGAATAAAATTAGAAAAATAATGTGAGTAAATTTAATATTTTTTTATATATGGACGCGAATCAAACCAGAGGTCATTAATATTCTGGAATGCTTATCAATTATATTTAGCATTAAAGGTGGAATTGAAATCGCAACGCATCTTTTAAGAACATTAAGAATAAATTTAAAAAAATAGCGAAAAAATCTAAATTAAAATTAGCGAACAAAAATATAGACAATAAGTGTATGTTTACAATTTTTTTTAAAGGATTAAATTTCATCCGGCTCATACGATAACAAATATTAGTGGGAGGGCCTTTTCAAACTTTTCTGGGGGTTTGAGCCCCCAATCATTCTTCTAGAGTTGTCACTGTGAAATGTTTACCTTAGAAATAAACCAAAATTTAATTTTTATAATTAGAAGGAATGAAAAATCAAATATAATTCAATAATATACTATTTTAAAATTTTAAATTAAAAGAAGCCATTTTTAGTTTCTGTAGGTATTCTTGGATGAACTTAAAATATTAACTACTGGAAAAAAAATATAACGTTTAATTAACATAGTGAGATCTAATCCTATTTTTTTTTTAAAAAATAAATCGATAATATATTAATATTTAAGAACATTTTGAATATCATTCGAAGATCTTTACAATTATTATTTTTAGTCGATTCGAAATTTTTAAATCGAATAATTTATTCAGCACATAATTTTCTTTCCTTTCTAGTTTCCTCTAAAAATTAAAAATATCTACGATGATCATTTATTTCGGAACGTTTCGAATTTCGAAACCGTTCCTATAATAGTCAAATTTATTAAAAATTTTGACAAAGTGGTACAGCAATAAAACAAATTTTAACAATTAATCTTCTCCATTCTAAATCCCTGATATTTCTAAAGATTAATTGATAACTTGATAACTGTTTCCTTTTTACATTTTATATAATTCTTGGAATATCTTTGACAACCCTTAAGTTAAAAAATAGGGGCATGCTAAGGCTTTTGGCAGCCAGGGACGAAAAGAAATTCTGTGGTCCTTAAATAACTTTACATTTACCTAGGCCTTAATGTTTTTTTAAATTTAAGTTGTTAATGAGCAGCTTTGAATATATAATAAAATATAATAATTTACATAATAAATGACTGAAGTAGGTAATATCAACCCCTGGTTAAAGAAATATCCAAAACTACTTTAGTGGGTTGATATAAAATTAATTTATATATAATATGTTAAATAAAATTTCATTTTATCGAACATGATTATTTTTTTTAAATTTTATCCAATAATAATGCATTTATAAGAGTTATCAAGCATGGTCAAAAATCAATTAATATATGCAAAAAAAATCTAAATTTCAAACCTTCAAATTAAAAATTATTTAAAATAAATCATAGAATTTATTCTTATCATAAATAAAACATTAAAATTATTTTTAACTCAAAATATTGAATCGTATAAAAATCAGAGAATTTTGTTAGTAATAAATGCTGAAATCTCAAAAAGTATTTATCAAAAATTTACAAATTTTTATATGAATATTGGTAGACAACAATATTAAATTTCTAAAAGACTCAAATAATTAATAGTTTCATTTAAAGGGTGTGGGGTCATATTTCATATAAACCTTACTTAGTTAATGAAATGTTAAGTATAATTTATGAAATATTTACAATTTTCTAAATTAAATTATAATTCAAAAGGCATCAATTTTAAATGCATAAGGAACATAATTTGGCGACCCTTAAAATAGCTTAATTCTGGGAGCTGGGCCCATTTGCGAGGGGCTTAATATATATTTAAATAAAGATACTACAGTGGAATGAATTCTATTCTATGATATATTCTAATAAAAAATAAGTTTTCAGAAATTATGCTGCAAATTATGTGCGATATCCACAACAAAAATTAGAAAATTTAATATTCTAAAATTTTACTTACCCTAAGTTTAAAATAAATATTAGTTTGAGTGATATATTTATATCTCAGTTAAAATGCTATATTTTTCAATAAAAGTTCAATGAAAATATTATTATATAATTCCTAGACCACAAACTCATGAATGGTAGTATAAAGATAATGCCAAACTCTTAAACATTTCCCTCTACCCCTTTAGAGGACCGTAGTAATCAAACAAATCAATATAAGAGTTCAACTAGACCCGAAAACAACATGCATAAAAAAATATCGCAAATAATATTTGGTGAAACGGCATCGACTGAAATAGAGCGTATATATTTACATGCTGCGGAAAAGGGTGACCTAATTGTCCTCTGCAAGATAATAGAAGATAGTCCTAGCCTGAACCTCAATTGCGTAGATAACTTAGGCAGAAGTGCATTGCAACTGGCAGTGTTGGAAGAGAAAAGCGATATGATAGACTTTCTTATCCCACGGATGCAGTTGCAAAAAGTACGAGAAGCCTGGCTACACGCCATTGATAAAGGCAACGTGCACATCTGCGAGCAAATCTTGTTGCACCCATTCCATAAAAATACTAGAGTTAAGAACCAACTTCTCGGCAACGATTCCTTCTATAGTATGGAGACAGAAAACTTGCAATTTTCCGCTGATATGTCGCCAATTATACTGGCTGCCCATAGAAACAATGTGAAACTTATCCAACTGCTTTTGGCTAATGGGGCCATAATACCTCGACCTCATTGTTACGACTGTAAATGTATAAGTTGCAATAATCAGCGAACATTCGACTCCGTAAGACATTCGCTCTCCAGGCTGAACGCTTACAAAGGTCTAGCGAGTCCGATCTATATAAGCCTCTCTAGCAACGATCCTCTCAACACAGCTTTTGAACTCAGCAAGGAGCTTGCCGATTTGTCAAAAGTCGAGAAGGAATTTAAAGTTAAAATTAATTAAAGATATTTTTTAAACTTTATTTATTTATTTGTAAGTGAAAACTTAATACAACTACAATTTAAGAATTTATTATTGTAGGACAGGATGGTAAATTAATTTATATGATTTGAATGATAAAAAAACAAATTATTTTATTCTTTCACATTTTCACCAATATACTATGTTGGAATTTTTTTATTTGGACTGTACAATTTTTTCCAAAGTATGTTGGGGGGGGGGGATTAATTTTTGGATAGCTTTCCCCTCATACCTTTGTAAATATTCACCATTCTTAATATCATCTTAATCCTTCAAATCATTATTTTTAAAATAAATTGTCTTATTCTTAAATAATTCTATCTATAGCCTAAAGCAACTTTTTTACAAAAATAAAAACTCAATCTAAGATGGAATACGTCAATCTCAGCAACCAATGCAAAGATTATTCTGTTGATCTTGAGAACCTATGCCGATCCACCGATGAAGTATTGACCATCCTAAAAGGAAAATCCCTACCAAAACCTAACAAATTCTTTAAAGACAAGGACAATAACTACATGATAAATATAGACACTACCGACGACGATGAGATAAATGGTTCGGAATTAAATATGCTCAAAATCGCCATCAAAACCAAACAGAAAAAAGTTTGATACAAATATTCATTCATTCATTTATTCATTCGTTCAATCAATCATTTATTCATTTATTAATTCTTTCATTCACTTATTTTAATATAATTTATTTATGGAGAAAAGATAAATTATTAGATTTCTTAAGATAAAATTACATAGCTACCTTTTTATAATTCATAAATAATTTAAAATGGATGAATATAATAAAAAATGTTAATTTTTTTTAACATATTTTTTCACAACCTATAAATTATAATATAGGAACATTTTATAAATAAATCATGTATATTTTTAAATTTTTAAAGAAATACTTTAGTATTTTTTATTATAAAAAATATACTTTTATTTTTGTGAAATCTTCTTAATTTATTTAAAAACAAATTTTCACAAATTTTTCTTTTACAAATTATAATTAAAATATATATTAAAAAACAAATAAGCATATATTAAAAAACAAATAAGCATATATTAAAAATGAATTAAAAAATATATGAACTGAGAAAAAAAAAATATTTAAAAAAAATGGTATAAATCACCCTAGAGAAGAGTGAATGCTTAAAAAATTGGACCGGCAGATTTCCAGGTAGTCTGCTGACCAAGTTAAAATCCTTCATTGGGGCCCCCTTAAATTTGTCTCATTTCTTTCCTATGGTTTTAATGAAATTGAGATCACTTCCGAACATGCCTAGGGTATTGGTAACGATTGGCAGAAACACGGTGTTGGTGAGGCAAGCATATTTGTTTTTTTAGGATTTCGGCCTTTTCGATGGCAGAAAATGAGAGGTTGGACTTGGCGACAAAATCGGCACATGTATAGTCCCAAGCGAGTAGGAGACCATTGGTCCAGAGAATGAGAGATATGCCATTGGGGCGTATGGCGTTTTTGTTTGAGAGACCCACTGGTTAGAGGGTGGATGGAATATTAACTTTTTTAAAAGCAGCTAGGAGAATGTTGTTACTAGATTTATGACGCTGTTGTCGTCTATGGGAGAACTTGCAGTGCAAGGGATGGTAAGCTTTCGATTCGATGGGATGGCCGCAGTCAATGCAAATGGAGAGAACCACAGCATTACAGCCAAGGCGGAGGGCTATGGAAATGCCTAGCTGTTCGCCAGTCAAGAGGAGGCCAAGATTAGAACTGAGGATGCCTTCCAGCCATTCGTAACCTGAGCTTGCCTATAATACTAAATTATTGGGATTGTCCTCAAAGGGCCTGTTCGAAATTAGGTATTCAACGGAGCGGGCGATCAGAGGAGCATCTTTGAATGCTGGAAGCGGGACGACAAAGGGTGGATGGGCAGTTGCTGTTCCAAAAGGTGAAGGACTGCAAGAGGTCAATTATCGATGATAGATTGAGCAGCAAGACGAGATGAGATAAAGGCTGAGAGGGAAAGTTATATCGAGGATCGGATACCAATACCACAAGAATTGCTGGGAAGGATGGCCTGAAGCCAGGATGAATTGGAAAATTTTAGGTTTAATATATTTTCAAGGAGACCCTTAATTTGGGTTTCATGGGAAACGAGTAAGTCGCAGCATTTAAAGATTGGAGAGGATCTCAGGGCGTAAAGAATTTTAGTTATATTGAAATAGTTTTTTATTAAAAAAAAAAATTGATGGGCTGGGAGGTAATTAAATAATATGTTTAATTTGGATAAATTGTTAAGTGATTTGTTTAAAAATGTTTTGCTGGCCTTTTCACCCCCTATAGGTGATCCAAGATGTGCCATCTCGTCGATGAAATGATATGCCATGTCTAAAGGGATAGAAGTAGGATTTAGGAAGCAAATCTCACATTTGGAGAGGTTGAGAGATAGTCCTGTAATATGTGAGAGATTCTCATTGATGAGGTGGAATTAAAATGTATCATATACATATTAACAATTAAAAACTAAACTATACATTTACTATATAAAAAAACGATATATAATACACAATTATATCAAATTTAAATAATTCTTTATGTTCTAATAAAAAAAATTGGCCTGTCTTTCTATTTATTAATTAAAAATCAATATAATTTACAAAATTTTACTGGCTACTCCCTTTTTAGGAACGAAGTCTAATAATAGTCTTTGTTACCTAGAAATAGAAATAAAATAATATTTTTATTTTATCTTGCCCAAGTTTTCTATAATAGAAGAATAAAATCCAATTTTCTGCTTAAAGCATCCATATAATTAATTTTTTTTAACTGATATCATTCTACTTAAATAAGCGACTTGTAAATTTATGCTTAAAATATTTTCTATTTAAACAGAAATTTATTTTTGACAGTTTATAGAATTAAAAAATCACCCATAATCTTTTTTAAATTTAAACAGATAACGCATCTTTAGCTCTTATAATTTAAGCATTATGATACTGTTGCAGCATTATATCATTAAAAAATTTTATGAATGATTTTATTTTTAATAAAAGTTTATATCGCATCCTAGTTGCCAGCAACAATTGACAATATTCTGGTACAAGGGCTTCACATTTTGGCAACATTGTCATTCGATGGGAAAGATAACTATAATCATACTCGCGGGGATTTTCATTCCTTTGCTGGTTCTTGCCTATTTCATCGTCCCCATTAAACAAGTTAGTTTAAAAAGAAATTTTTTTATTGATCCAAATTATTAAATTTTATATAAATTATTTAACATTTGGCCTAAAAGAAAATAATGGCTCTAATAATCCAAAAAGTAATCCAATTAGTGTTTCACAGCCCGGCTTTGCAATATAATATTTTTAAAAAAAAATATTTTATAGTAATTAATCAGTTGGAAAATAATAATAAACATTTATTTGTACACCTCATAACAGCCTGGCTTAAAAATTTGACTTTTGCAGGTTTCTGGAGTTTTCTATACTTTTGAGAAACAACGTAAAACTACAAATGATATTATAGCTCAGGGTTCTTTATTAAATATGCTGTTAATATTTCTTATACCATCAATAAATCCTAAATATTTATACGAAAATATTTTTAAAATAAAGTTTCGTAGATTTTTGCAGAGTCCCATCATGAAATTCTTGATGCACGCTACGTCCCAAGTATTTTTCTTACTTTTCTTAGGACTTTTGAGTGTAAGAAACGATGATCTGTTCCGAAAAATGTTGGGCTTGCCACTCAAGAAAACATACTCCAATAAAAACGCTAATGAAGAAACAGCAGAGGCTCAATACCTTTATATGTTAGGAATCATTCATTTCCTCGTCATATTATGGGTCATAGGTTTTTCAAAATAATTTGCATGTAACATCATACACAATAAATATATGATATTTATATAAACACCCCCCCCCCCTCACTCCCGACTTATTGTTAATGGAATATCATAAGAAGTGTAATGTCAGTCTATATTTCATATCTTCCGTGATGAATGGATTTATTAGAAAATAAATAATATCGGTGAGAAAGAAAGGGACATGCTTTCGAAAATGATTGATATTCATAGGCATCTCCATGATTTTCTCAAGGGAGGTGGGGGATTTTGTGTAACATTTCGAAAAGATTTCTAAAATAAAGTCTGATTTGATCAAAAATGTATAATCCATGATAGAGAGTAACTATTTAGAATTTCAGACAATTTTTGCATTAAATTTAAAAAAAAATTTATATAAATGTTATAGAGTAAGTGTAGCTCAAAAGTTCAAAAAATTTGTCAGAAATTCATAGTTTGAATTACACTCTATACATGCTGGAATGAATTTCCTGATAAATTATATTTTAAATTTAGAAATCGCTCATGGATTCCGTATTCAATACGACATATATTAATAAAATATGTCAATTCGGTTTATTCAGAATGATAGTTTTTATTTATATATAATTAAAAATTCTGTATTCCTAATTTTTTAAATAATTTATAGACCGGCCAAACGGGAGAATTTTTTATTTCCTTTTATTTTTATTACTAATTTTGATTTTAATTTCGTTTTCTTAAAGCATTTGATTAAGTCTTAAAATTTATTTTTTACTTCCTCTGATTATTTAATATAATTAGTACATCTTATAAATTCTATTATATAACTCATGCATATAAAAGAAATTCGTTAAATTTACCGACATTTTTCATATTATTGCAGTAAATTATTTCATGGATCTCCTTAAAATTAAATAATTATATATTCCTTAAAATTCCCCATTTCATTTAATTCCCTAAAAAACAAATTGTAAAAGGTTTTTTGGTCAATGAAGTGAACCAAATATATAATGAAGGACCTCTCAACTACCTGACCGATTGGTGGAATTATTTGGATTTTAATCTCATCGTTCTATACGTTGCCGCTTACGCTACACTTATCACGATATACTTTAAAACTTACAATAAAATTAATTACATGACCGTTCAGGAATTTTTGTCTGATATCGAAGGTCGCAACGGAAGAAGACGTATACTTTATTTTCTCATTGCTGTTTACATTTGTTGTTAACACATCTTTTTTTATACTTATCATAATATCCATTTTTATCACATTTTCTCTGTTCCCCGATTTGGGGTTATTTCTCTTCCTCTTGCGATTTATATTCACCAGTAATTAACCTAGTTTACATAGATAATTTTCTTAGTGTACACAATCTGTTTTAGTCTGAACGGGACATCATATTTATCAATTAAAACACCTTATAAAACTAATTCCTTGATATATGTATCTATATAATATGTTAGGAATTATCTGCCATATCATTTTATTTTGAAAAATTAACCCATCATGTCTCTATTTTTTTTATAAAGTAACGATCAATCTATCTTTTTTTGCAGAGAGGAACGAAAATAGCGAAATCTTATTTGTAAAATATCGTTTAGAACACTGGTTTATAATGAAACTTTAGAGGATTTCAAATGATATTTTGCGAGATAAAATGCTATAATATTTAAAATTGTAACAAAAATAAAATTTTAAAAGTTATAATAAAATATTTGCATCACTGTTTTTATACGTTTTTTAATTTCTTGTAATATATATTTGCATTTTAAAATTCTTCATTATATTTCAAATCATTTCATAATCCACTCTCAACTTAAATTTATTTCTACATCATAATCCCAATATACAGCCGAATCCTTAGAAACGCCTGTAGCCATTTTTAATGTATTCTTTTCGTTCGCAAACGTAATGAGTTTCATGCGTATGGCCTACTTCTTACCTGCTAGCGAACAAGTCGGTCCACTGCAAATCAGCCTAGGTCGGATGCTAGATGATATAGTTAAATTTGGGTTTATTTTTGTGCTTGTTTTAACTGCCTTCATTTGCGCTATGACAAACTTGTACGGCATGTATGGTAAATATAGCAACGAAGAAATTAAAGATAGTTTTACATCGTAAAAGATATTATTCATTAATGTTTAATAAGATTTTAAAAGGGAAAATTCGGTTTTAAAACATAGTTCAGTTCATTTTCCTCTTAAAAAAATTGAAATAATCTTATATTATGTTTGATGAGTATTATAGTGGTCTATGTTTTAACTTTTCAGGAGAGCATTTTTTTAATATTTATCAATTGTATCTTTATAGAATATGCTAGAATTATTTTTCTCCTATAGATTATAATTAGTGCAAGCCACTTATCATATGTTTAACTATTATAATTTTCTTAAAAAAAACGTGTTTTAATACTTTTTAAAAAGTGGAGATAGAATAAAGTATTTTAGGGTTAGATTAAATTACCAAAAATAAGTTTGTTCTATTATTGAAGAGATTTTTACAAAAATTATACAATTTGAGATCTTTAGATACTTATTAATTTTCAATATAAAATTCATTATTTAGAGTTGCTGCATTTATACTATCTTTTATTTCAGTCACAATAAATAAATATATAAATCTAATCATAAAACTTTAATAAGTAATTATTACTAATTATCCTCAATATGAAATTCATCAAATATCTAACTACTACAGTCACAAAAAATATATTTATAAGGAATTTAAATGTTGAAGGATATTTTACTTATTAAAAAGGATTTTGGTTCAAAATTATCATTTCTATTATAAACTTATTTTATGTTTTTCAGGTTTATAGAAAATTCACTTTTCTTCTCCATTTTATTTATATTCACTATCTATATAAGAACATATGATAATATAAATAATAGGAATAAAAAAATATGTTTAAAAAAGTACGAATTTATCAAATCATTGATCAATTATTAATTCGTATTGGTTTTTAGGATAAAGAAACTAAACTATTATGCAAATTAAGATGGAATAATATAGTAATGTGAATAAAAAAATCCAGATGATTATTTCACATTTCTATTTCTGATATAGAGGACTATAATACTCATATAACGACTTTATAAATTTTATACTTAGTTTGTGGACTGTTCGTTATATTTATGTATTAATACATTTAAACATGTTGGTGGATATAGATTGGAAGGCACTTTCCGGATACTATTTTGGTCCACTTTCGGCATGGGCGATCCAAATACCCCCAAATTCGATGACAAGCCGATTCTTTTAATACAGAATTCGGGTTACATCCTGTACGGAATGTACACAGCTATCACTATTGTGGTGCTCGTTAATATGCTTATAGCTATGATGGCTGATTCCTTTCAACAAATTAAAGTTTAATCTTCTTTTTTCCTTGAAATTTTTGAAAATTTTTATCAAGTATATTTTTTTTGACTAATAACATTTATACAAAAATAAAACATCGAAATAATGTTCGGTCCTTTACTTACCTTTTAAAAAATTATCATACTATTATTTAAAGATATTTAAATCCAATAAAGCTCTGTAACTAAACTCATTCAACAATGGCCTGTGATATAAAATTTTCTTCAGCATAAAAATTAACCTGATATTTTTTTTTACCAATTATGATCGGATAAACATTTCAGATATTTGGCTCTTTACCTCGTGACTGCCACTGTTAACTATTAATATGATCAAATTAAGACACCTAATCCAATTAAGATTATATCCCATACCATACCATCCCTCCTAACCCCAGCCCCATACATAAACATGGAGGTAAGCCCACGGGTTACCAAATTTTGGCCTCCAAACTTGGCTCCCAAATTGGTTTCTAGTGGTTTATAAAAAAAATAACCCCAAAAATATATTAGCTCTTAAAGAAACTTTTCCACCCCCCCCCCTCCTCCAACTGATGCTGGCTACAGGATTACCTAACCCCTATCAAATTTTAAGAAAAAAGGAAACAAAAATTTAAAAGTAATTCCCCCTCCCTTCTTCAATTTTATATATCATAGTTATCATAATTAACTATTCCCCTCTAAATTCATTGATGATCTAGAATACTCTTCGCTATTCTGGTGGTAGAAGTTCCTAAATCAAGACACGATATATAAATGTTTTAGTGATTTTTTTAAATGTATTACAAATCATCCCCTTTCTATCATATAGGATGACGAAGACGTTGAATGGAAATACGCTCGTACTAAGCTTTGGATGTCCTTTATCCAGGAACGAGAATATTTGCCCATCCCGTTTAACTTGCTCCCATCACTCGATTTCTTGAGTGGAATTTTATATGCAGTGGCTGAATTTGTTAAGCATGTTAGTTTGTTCGTGGTACAAAAAGTATCATTTCTTCACGAAGCTAACGACCCCAAGCATTACAACGTTAATTATATCTAATATTTAACTAAAATAACATTTTAATAAGCATCGGTATATAACACGATGCAACACTATATAGAACTAAGGGCTATAATTTATTTGCTGTAAAAATAGATCTTTTCTGAGTTTCTATTCATATTCATATTCGATTCATCGAAATGAGTCGAATAATTTGTTATTCGTATTAGTACGAATAATAAAATTTATTGTGATTGCGAATAAATCTTATCGTACTCGGATAATATGGAATATGCTATTCGTATTCAATACTCCTCGATTTGAAATATTTAAAATACATCCAATAATAGATTCTTTTTTGAATGGCTTAGTTTTTACATATTTTAAAAAATCCTTATTTCACTTTTTAATAAAATACACATGCCGTTATCTTAGATTTTTTTATTTATGATTTTTACAATTTAATTCAAAATGCATATTTTCAAAATTCTTCTTTTCATTATAAAATAAATTAAGAGCTAAGGTTAAATCAAAAACCAAATATAAAAGAACTAATTTCTTTTTTCATCAGTATACAGAATTATCAAACCAACCCAAATTATTGTATATTGTTTAAAAAATATTATTATAATTTTTTAATCCGTGATAAGGAAAATTTATTTAAGACATTAATAAGTCTTCCTTTTCATCTTCCATAACTGATTTATAGTGTTGTTAAATGGCTCAATTTGAGCCGATTTTTCAAAACTGTGAACCCAATATTTTAGTTAGAAAAGTATTGCCTAAGCGTTGTATCCAAACCTTTGTCATCTATGCGCAGAATCTTTAGGCTTGCGTTATATTTTTATGGATAAAATATTGAGTAGCCATTTTTAAAAATCAACTCAACTCGAGCCGCTTTACAACATTACTAATTTTAAAAATAAATTAACAAAAATAAATTATATTGCCACTAAAAAACAAATTTCCTTTTAAAAAACAAAAGGCACTTACTTGTTTTTGTTTTTAGCCCTAATAAAAAACCAATAAAAAAAGATATAAAATCTTTCGAAATTTTATTATTTAGAAAAAGCGCAAATATGCCTTGACCAATGGGATGAAACGTGGAAATATGCTGAATGGAATTATTGATGAAAAATATGATGTAAGTTGTAGTATAATATACTAGATATTATAATATCATTTAGTTTAATAGTTATAAGTCAACAACGGAGATTAATAGTAAAATAAAGTGGGAGATGTTTTAAATTTATGTTATTGCCGTTACAACAACAACTGATTAAATAGTCTAGTTATCAATAAATTGACTCTCAATCTTACTCATACTTCTTTCCTTATTTATCTGTCTTATTTTCAAATTTCATAATGTACTAGTATAAATTTTCTAATTTTTGTAAAACAGGGTTCCAAACCGAAACGAATATCGGTTCGGTTCAGGTTCGGAAAATAATGGTTTAAGGTTCAGGTTCGGTTTGCAAAAAATAAAAATATCGGTTAGGTTCGAACCTCTAAAAACCGGTTTGAACACATTTGTATTCAAACCTACATTAGGATTATGTATCAGGAAAAATTTTTTTTTATTTCATAATTAAAATAAAAACCATCATTTTTATTAATTGCACATTATTATTACAAGTTACCTTAAATATAATAAAAATGCCCTTTACTCTCAATTATATAACTTAACAACCCAAAATAATTCTTTCTAATAATATTAAATAAATACCATTGACCATTAACGACGATCCATATTTAACATAATTATCTTTATTTCCAATAAAACCACAACAATCTAACATAAAATATGTAGAAAAATATAATATAATTATCCAATTCTTCATTTCTCAAAGGTCCACCCTATCTCCTCTTCTTCCCCCAAGGAAAACTTAATTTCCCTGTCAGAAAATAACTGACATTTGATGTATTATATTAAATTTATTTCTTCTTTTTTTCAACAGTTACAACACGCCCACCCTTCACAAGCCCAGCGTCCCTCTCTCTGTGGTGTTGTTGTATCGAATCACCTCTTTGAATTGTTTCGAATCACCCCTTTGAATTGTATCGAATCACCTCTTTGAATTGTATCGAATCACCTTTTTGAATTGTATCGAGACGCCTTGAAGACGTTCAGGGAATTTGTCGAATCGTCTTCCCTTATGATGATTTATAATATATAATGACCTGTACATTGGGGTATCTGCATTTATAATCTATGCAACATTAATATGGACAATGTAATATCAGCAAAACATAATAATTCATTCATTTTAAGACATTTGGGAAATATGAGCTATAATACACATTATTTGGATATGATTCATGGTAATTAAGAAATAATGATATTACATATAATAATGTAATGTGAACATATTGTCTGTGTGTGAAATGCAATTTCAACACATGTAATTTTCCTTCTGTCATGTAAAAAAAACAAAGCTACATTTATGTAAATATTTCCTAAAATGAATAGAAAAATCCATCCTTAGGTATTACAAATAATTGCGAAACTCTGCCAAACAAAGATTCTACCTAAAATTACAATATATCCATATACAAATACATTTAATATTTTATATGAAGGAACAAATATAATACGTAGAAAATACAATATTTCCCATCTAGGAATTACTCAGTATCCTAAGAAAAATATACCATTTCTACCTAACTCTGTCATCACAGTTAGCACAAATTCACAAAAATGTAGAATGCAAAATAACAACAATTGAGTATAATGGGCTATATGGTATATATGTAAAGAATTTTTAATATACCTTCACAATATAAAATAATTTGAGTCTTTTCTTTAAAAAATATGTTCATAATTAAATAGTAAAATGTGATGTGCTATAAAATTATTACAAAAATAAAAAAAATGTATTATGCAGCATAAATTTACAAAAAAAATTTACACCAAAAAAAAAAAAACTTTCTCCAGTATGCAAACTAAACAATATTCTCACCTCAAGGCATACCCATCAACACGGGCTGACCTTATCTGTAAAAATATTTCCCTTCAATCATTGCATACCATAAAAATAATATAATAATTGCAAATATAACTTTTTATAAAATTTTATAATTTAACAAAAAAAAAATATATATATAAATATAAAGATTTCATAATTTGGAAAAAAAAATATTATACACCATCTAATGTATCATACAAATTCCTATCCAATTTATATATACACTAAATGCAGACACTAAATCAAAATAACTATCCACATCTAACATTATAGATATTATTCTGACTTCATCATACTTCAATTCCTTCAAATTCTCATTCATAATTAAATATATCATATGTTACCTATACAATATATTAACATTATAAATAATAATTCATAGTTAAATATATCATATGTTACCTATGCAATATATTAACCTTAATTAATAATAAATTATCCCATACATATTCATCCCTTTACAAACCCAAAATGCATAATTAAATAATACACACTTTATTACAAAAGTCTATATCCATATATATTTTCATAAATTTCACATATTTAAATATTTAACAATCCTTTCTGTCCTGCTGTTCATGAGGTCTTTCAGCTTCCTATGACGGAATACCTATAACACCATTCAATGAGTTTTAAGGCATACCAAATAATGATCAAAATTATATGTACCATATACATCTAGACATAAGATAATATGCCAAATTTTACTGTCTTAAATTCCTGATCTTATTTCCATATTTCTGCCTAATACTCATTACATACTTTCTATCTTACACCTTTTAAAGTTAAATATAAAAGTATAGAAATTTTTAAACTCAATCCTTAATCTCACTATAGTTTTTTTTTAGTACTTGTGTTGTGATTTCACATTAATCCCTAGATAGATCCGATCCTGTCAACGGTAACAATATTACAAGTTACCTTAAATATAATAAAAATGCCCTTTACTCTCAATTATATAACTTAACAACCCAAAATAATTCTTTCTAATAATATTAAATAAATACCATTGACCATTAACGACGATCCATATTTAACATAATTATCTTTATTTCCAATAAAACCACAACAATCTAACATAAAATATTTAGAAAAATATAACATAATATAATTATCCAATTCTTCATTTCTCAAAGGTCCACAGCTGACATCCAAAGGTCCACAGCTGACATCTAATCCAATATCTCCCAATCTCCAACTATGGGTTTTTCCGAACAATGAAACACACCCCGTAATCCCTATCTCCTCTTCTTCCCCCAAGGAAAACTTAATTTCCCTGTCAGAAAATAACTGACATTTGATGTATTATATTAAATTTATTTCTTCTTTTTTTCAACAGTTACAACAATTATAAAATAATATTTAATTTATAAATATAACAAATAAATATATCAATGATTAATTTAAATATGAACAATTACTTAATTTTTTTTTATTAAGCTGCACAATTAATATATTTTCAAAATTCGTCTCACTCAAATTACATCTATAAGGAGATAATATAAATTTAATGGTTGAAAAACATCCTTCCACAATAACTTGGGTAGCTGGCATTGCCAGTATGATATCAGATTTGATGTGTCATTTATAATACTATATGTAAATAATTTATATATTAGATTTAATTTTTTTCATTATAATTTATAAGCTTTAAATATTTAAAAAATATTTCAAAATGGCAATACACTAAAGTTTATAAAAATTATGACTGACGTTTATCAATCAAATGTGATTGATAATAATTTTTAAAACAATTTGAATATAATTAAAATATTTGCAATATACTACTAGTAATAACTTACACATTATTTTATAAGCATAAAATTATGAGACTCGAACCGGTTCAGAGGCATTTTAGCGGTTTGGTTCAGGTTCGGCTAGAAATTTTTTAGAGATTTAGGTTCAGTTAGGTTCGATAAAAAATACAGGTTTTTAGAAGTTTAACGGTTCGGTTCAGGTTCGGTTTGATTCCCTGGTGAAAACTAACATTTATCAAAATAAATGATATTTCGAAGAAGCTTTTCAGATTAGGTTTGATCTATTTGATTATTCTAATATCATCTGATTTTTATTTTTTTTTATCGCAATCCTATACGCATCATAATCATTAGTTCTAGATTTAATTAACTAAAAAGTTAAATTTATGAAATAATTTTGCTTAAACCAACAATTAAATTCAAGAAAATATTTCATTTTAAAATTTTTACATGTTTTTTATATTTTTAACTACTTTAAAAATTATTACAAAATTAGAAAAAAAAATACATTCGTTTTTCTTTAAGAAGAATTTATCGCCTTTTTCGAATGTGCAGTCACATTTTATCTCATAAAAATAGACATATTATTTCTGTTATTTCTTACACAAACGTATTAAAAATTTTTAAACCAACAGATTATAATGCGAAAAATTATAAGACGGTACTTGCATTCTATCCTTTATTCTGGAATTCAACAAAATAATGGTATTAATTAATTATGTTTTATAAGAAGAAATTAGGATATTCAATAATATAAAACATTTACTCATTAACTCAGGCCAATCGGCAATTATTCAATATCGGTTGAATAAGAAATATGGGGAACTTTACATTTGAAATTTTAAAAAAAATTAGTATTAAATTGTCCCACTTAATATTTTATTTGCCTAATTAATCGGTAAATATTAGAGTTGTTAAATGATACTTTTTAAATGGATCTAGATACAGATACATCGTCTAAAATAATATCTAGATACAGATATTTTAATCAAAAATCTATCTAGATCCTTTAACAACTCTGGTAATTATTGTCTTTAGTTTGGGTCAAATTTACCAATGTTCCCCTAATTAAGGTATAATAAAAATATTTTATTAAATAAAATTTATTCCTTGAATTTTAAGTAGAAGATCACAATGTAATAATGCAAATAAAAGACTTTTTTCAATTATATTTTAACATTTTTATTGTAGATATATAAGAATATAGCACTTTAGGATTAATTTATTAAATTTAGAAAAAGAATATATATAGAACACACGATTAAATTTATTAAATTAAGAAAAATAATGTATATAGAACAGACGATATGAGATAAGTTTATCGGAAATAAGAATAATCCAAAATCCTCCCATGGTAAATCGGAATTTCTTAATTTTTAAAACTATTTACTAAGAGTGATTATTAATTTGAAATATGATTCTACCGGAAGTAAATTCTAGCTTGCATATCATTCATTAGATTTTTGGATAATTTCCTCATACATTTTTTTTCTGTATTTTTTTAACTTTTATGAAAAATCTATATTATAAATTAATATTAATTAAGAAATTAGTTCAAAAGTTCACGGCTAAATTGAAATTAACCTGAAAAATTAGAGTTTTTTTAAAAAAAAATTGCTCACTGTAAATGGTATAAAATTGGGGGATTCTGAATCCCCAAAAGAGGATTTAGGATTAACTCTCATTCCATATAAACTTACTCCAATTACACATATTTGAATAATTATTCTTTCATTCTCTTAATTGAGTATTTTCTAAATTCAAATATTTTTTAAATTATTCTTTCTTTCTTTCTTTCTTTCTTTCTTTCTTTCTTTCTTTCTTTCTTTCTTTCTTTCTTTCTTTCTTTCTTTCTTTCTTTCTTTCTTTCTTTCCTGCTTGCTGGAGTGCTTTTATATTATTTTTTTTTGATTTTGCTTCTTTTACGAAAGGCACTTTAGTTTTTTAAAAGTAAACCTTTATCTTATTTTTTTTTCGATTGATTTTTTGCTTAACATTGGTTATCATTTCTACCTATTAGTCTTTTTGATCGTTCGGATTTTTTATTAAATATTCGCTAATGGCCAACCGATAGACTTCAAATACACCATGCTAAAGCAAACAAGCGAAAAAATAAGAGGCGATATCAACGAGCTTAAAAGTATGCTCCAAGAATTCCTCGATAATAAATGCTATAGCAGCAACAAGGCAACCTACAATATAGGAGAAAAAGAAATGACTTCAATATAAAACTTTGAATAAAGATCCCCTTCATTCCCTACTCAATTTTCGTTAGAATCTTTGAATTCATTCTAGTGCTACAGTATATATATATAGATGGAGAAATTTTATTTCCAAAATTTTTTAACATTTATTTATTTTTGTATATATTCAAAATTATTATGATAGAAGAACACCACAATAAATAACATATAAAACACGTACTACTAAAATGATGTAATTCCACCAACTATTATTGTCAAAAACCTCAATTATTTGATTTTAAAAATGACTAAATCAAGGTTTTTATCCAAATAAAAATATACCAAGCCTTTGGCCATAAAACTTCCTGCCATCTATATGAGTAATCTCGAGGCTTAGATAACAGATTTTTTTTTGAGGGGGGGGGGGGGGGTCTTCATTTAACCGTCATTTAAGCACCATAATTATTGAAGTTTTCTATAATATTATTATAATGAAATAGAGTTGTTACTGTTTTTGAAATATTTGTATAATATTTATATAATTGACAGAAAGTTGAAGACAAAATTTAACATTTTTAGATAAATATCGCAGATTTAAAAAAAACTTTTTATACAAAAGAAATCAAGTGAAAGCTAATTAAAATATCGTTTTACTGTAATAATAATCATAGGTTCAACTAAGGGGGTAAGGACATCACCTCTTACGTAAATTTGTTTGTTTTCTAACATAATTTTAGGATAGTAAAAATGTTCCCCTTGGATTCCCAGCAACCCCCCATCTAGTCCAAATAAATATAATAAATATATATCACTACAAAGCACAAGTGAAAAAGCAAATAATATTAAAGAAATATAACCCGGCCAAAACCCGAGAATTTATGTGCTTAAAGCCTTCCGATAATATTCCCAAATATTAGTATTTCATTCGTCCTTTTAGCACATTGGTCTATGGCCCATCCTGATAAAAACAGACGCTATACTATTATTTTCTCATGACATGATAATTCTTTAAAAATATATCGTCTGACATAAAACTAAAAACGTGTTTAAAATATTCCTGTTTTCTAATAAAATCAATTGGTATTTAATGAAATTTAGACTACAATAGTAATCATCACCATCATTCTGCGAATAGATCCGGGAGGGGTTAGGATTGTTTTTTTATAATGAAATATATTTTTTGCTGCTATCGATGTTTTGATCCAACAGGTTCTAAGATTGATGGGAGGTTGGCTAAAGGGTTAGCAATCCTTGCGTTTACCAAATGATGTTGAGAATAGACTATAGATAAATGTAGGTGGACATTTTCTTTTATTGTAATTAAAAATTTAATTAGAAATCACAAACAAAAGGTAACAAAAAGCATTTTAGCAGCTAAGGATTATTACTTCATATTGAAATAATATATTTTTGAATGTACTTAGTTTATTATGTCGATCAAAAACATAAATCGAAAAATTAAATTGCATTAAAAATTACCAAGCAATCAAATTTACGGCTTAAATGTGGTAAATTTTAATGAAATTTTAACTCTCAATAAATAACTAAATAAATAAGATTTATCATTTGCATTTCGACCTAAAAAATGAATTCCCAAATATATAATATTTTTTAAATTTGAAAGAAATATCCATATATTTACCAAGGATCTCAACCCAACAACATTTATGGCAAGCTTGATAAGGGTTAAGGTAATTAATGTTTAATAAAAAATAGAGTTTGGTATAGGTTCAGATTCTAAAAATGATTGAAATTGTTTTCAATCTGGGCGAGTCTAGGCAGGCAAGCCTAATCCAGTTAGGTTCGGATTATTCCCCAAATTAGCGATCAAATCCTAATATTATTTAGTAAGAATGAGAGTTTTTAAAATATAGCTTTTCAATAGCTATTATTATTATTCTAAATATTTTACTAGTAAAAAAATTTTTTTAAAAAAGGTAATCACGTTAGGACACATCTAATTTTCAATTTTACTCTAAAAAAGTTATCGAGGTAAATCAGCTATTTGGTTATTATATTATGTTTAATAGGGGAAATATCGGGGTATTACCTCAAGAGAGACAAAACTGTCTATTTAAATTTTAATATATTTTTACTATTAGGGGATAGATGACTAAAATTTGGTTAATATGTATTTTAATATAATAAATTTCAATATATTTTTACTATTAGGGGATAGATGACTAAAATTTGGTTAATATGTATTTTAATATAATACACAAATCATATATTATTTGTAAGATTAAGATATGAATGAGGAGCTGGTTCGGCAGATATAGAGGAGGTAAAAATAGATTTTAGTGTTTTTTAAATTTTATTATCTTGATTATTTTTCGCCTTATTTCAAAAGAGAAATATTTTTAAACATCTATATAGCTTCTTTTCACAAAATAAAAGTAAGAGAGTATTTAGATTTAATGCATAACAAAACAGAGGGTGCCTTAGTTCAAAATCTCAATAAACATGTCTAATATTTTCAAAAATAAGACGAACCTGGGCACGACCAAAGTATTTATATTTGTTATGAAACTTTTATCAAGGAAATTCCATCTTTCTAGATTAGGTACTTAGAAAGGTAGGAGTTCCAATTAAAAATTAAACTGTACCCTTGTAATCCCGAATAATTGCAACTAGGGTGGTTAGTTTAAAATCAGTTAACTTGATGTCAAATCAAAATGTTTTAAGACAATATAGTGGTAGGGGGTAAAATTTCAGATTTTTTTTTTAGAAAATATTATATACGGTTTTTAGAAAATTAAAAGATAAAAAGTTTTATGTGAAATATTTATGAAGAATATCCTAATTATATATGGAGAATGTTTATGAGGAATTATTATCTTTATTTCTCTCCCCTTTTCATATCATGACTTTTTGCCATTATAACAGTTAACAAGGTCACGAAATTAACATAATCATCCTAAATGTCATCAATATGGCAAGAGGTCGTTTCAGTAAAAGTTCCAAAAGATAGGCAGTATTACCCTAATATCCTCATTGGCCTACCCCTCCTGTGATCCATCGACTTCTCGGGCAATTCCATAGGCGTTAGTTCACTGAATCCTATAAGAAAATATATTCAGACCTAAACAACATAATTTTGTTACCATAACCAATAAAACATTATGAATCTCTGTTGAGTAAGCTCTTCATTTAAATTGGTGGGAAAAACTACCTCAATGAGTGGTTTTACTTCCGCCATACTATCTCGGAAATTTATCGCTCCAATTTCCTGAGCATCCACTCATCCTGCTCCCCATTCTCTTTAAAATAATTATTTAGTCCCTTTTCTAGTATTTTTTTGTTATTTTAATATATAAAACAAATCATTTAACAATTATATTTCAATCTTTCTTAGTCATCATTTTTATATACAATATTTTATATGTTTTCTAACTTAAAATTTATTTATAATATAAAATTTTTTAATATGGCTGGATATTAAAGATAATATATTAATTTTTATTTTTAAACTACACAAATTCAGTGGCGTCGTTGGGGTAGGGCCAATAAGGCTCACTTTTCCCTTTAAACTTTGAAATGTGCCTGTAAAAGATATTTTCAAGTAGCTACTGATGGCCAGAACTAATGGTTCAAAATCTTCCAAACATAAATAATTCGGCAATGGTCTATGCCAGTTTAAAAAAATAAAAACTATTCTTATTTCAAATTTTCAATTATTATTTTAAAAAAATTATCGAATTCTATCATGGTAATAATTTTTCAAAAATTGAAAAAAAAAAATTTTTTCGATTTCTTTGAAGGAATCTGGCACTTAGCTCTAGCCTGAAGATTTATTTTAAATAATCGGTTTAATTATTATCTGTTTTACAGTAAATTATTTAATATTTAATTAAAAATTTATATTTTGTAGGTCAAATGAAAACAACGGAATATTTCTTAATTAAAGTAATAAAATAATCATTGATTTTATATATTTAGAATGAAAGAAAGAGAGAACGAAGGAAAGAAAGAAAGAAAGAAAGAAAGAAAGAAAGAAAGAAAGAAAGAAAGAAAGAAAGAAAGAAAGAAAGAAAGAAAGAAAGAAAGAAAGAAAGAAAGAAAGAAAGAAAGAAAGAAAGAAAGAAAGAAAGAAAGAAAGAAAGAAAGAAAGAAAGAAAGAAAGAAAGAAAGAAAGAAAGAAAGAAAGAAAGAAAGAAAGAAAGAAAGAAAGAAAGAAAGAAAGAAAGAAAGAAAGAAAGAAAGAAAGAAAGAAAGAAAGAAAGAAAGAAAGAAAGAAAGAAAGAAAGAAAGAAAGAAAGAAAGAAAGAAAGAAAGGAAAGGAAAGGAAAGGAAAGAAGAGGAAACCAATATAAATTTATATTGAAAACTTGAGATCATTTGTTTGAATTACATAAGTAACTAAAATTAATCATTAATATAAATAATATACTATTTTGTTCGCTTCCTTTAAACATCCTTTTTAATTTTTGCTTTATAAAATAGTATTTATTAGATACTTACTTAACCCAAATAATTTAGAAACATACTTACATTCAATGTATATATGTATAGGTAAACAAGTCACTGAATAAGTTATTACCAGCTCTTCCACTTTGTAATTTGAATGTTTAAGATATTAGTTTCCGTAAAGAATATTTTATTAGCCATGGAAATATTTTCGAACATAACTCTTGCCCCATTGACTACATTATTAAGGTCTTATTCAACATTGAATAAGGAAAAAAAATCCTTAGAAGATTTTAATTTTTGATGAAATAATAATTAAGTATATAAACTTTTTAGACATCTAGTATTAATAAGATTATTTTTTGATAGAGTGATTGATAACGAGCTTTAAATAATTTAGTAAAACATGTCTAATTTGGGCTCTTCCTTAATTAACCAATATTTTGAGAAAACGATATCAAAGAACTGTCTATTTTATATAAATTTGTACCAAAAAAAACAAGCAATTAATTATACATCTGATTCTCATGGGCTTAGCGGGCCCAGTGAATGCCCAAAATATATCAGGTAAGAATCAGGTATCATTTGGTATTGTATACCAAGTTTTCAATGCATCCAATTCTTCGTTATTGTTCAAACCAGAAATTACGATTTTGAATGATATTTCTGCTACAAATGGGACTTTGTTTGACATCTTACTGGCGAACATCAACTCAAATAAAATGGATTCCATGGTAAATATAACAACATCAGATCCATATCGTGACTAAAGGGCTCACTACAACTACCAGCACCTTCGGTATTTCTTTTTATCATTATTATATAATTTATGTAACATAAATACCCCCCCCCCCCCCCAGAGACATCTTTTTGTTTCTTCACATAACACTTTATTACGTAACACTTATTATTAATGCGACACATGATCCCGCGAAATTTATTCACATTTTGAAAAACATCTATTACTCCAAATTTGTTTGCCTAAGAAAAGCTAAATATTTTGTCAGTTTTATGGAAAAATGCTCTCAAAAATTATTATTTGTTCATATACAAATGCAAGCTTCTTTGGGCCTGATTTATTTTTACAAACTATGAAAAATATTTTGAATTATATTAATATCAAGGGGAAAATCATTTAATGGAATATTTCATTTAACATTCATTTGCTGCTCATACTAAAACTGTACACTAATTTAATTTATTGATTAAATTTTTATTAACATTAGAAGTTCAAGGTCAAACATTTGTAATGTAAAGTTATTCTTTATTTTTATTGAAAAGTCATTTAAATTTTAATAATACACTTTATGGGGGTAATTGTCGGAAATTTACATAGTGAAAGTATTCTGCACATGCACGAATATATTTTTTATAATATCTTATTCTTCAAATATAAAAATAATTCTCTAATTATCATGGATTCCATATCCCAATACAACGAATATATTTTTTGAATTATCATATCTTTGTATTAAAAATTCCTAATTGACCATCTGATCGAAACAAATTAAAGATTGGTGGAAGAAGAAAAAAAATGAAAGAGACAAATAAAAATAAATTGATCATTGATAATAATGTTAAGTATAAGGGGGTTTCTTTTCCTTTTCAAAATTTGAGAAAATATTATATTTTAATAAAATATTTTACATGTATTAATCACCTTTTATTATCTGGTAATAATATAATTATAATAATGAAGTAAATAATTAGTAAACGATTACGAATTAGGAGAAAAAAAATCATAATAACAAAAAGACAATATTGAGCATAAATAATAAAATAATGTAAAATACAAAATAAAGAAAATCCAGCACAATTATCCAAAATCCTCTTCCTCTAATCATCAGGAGAGATCGAATTTATATTATCCTGAATTTTATTTTTTTATAATTAATTGAACAATATTTGAGGGAAATAATTTGACCTGAAGGTTTCTACCCCCTGATACCCTAAATTATTTTCCGCAACCACCCGGGAAACATAATTAGCCTTAAGATTAGCTATTGAGATCCTCTGCCTTAAGTAAAAGTCTTCGCGAGGTTCTCCAGAATTTTTTTTGATTCGGCGGGCAACATCTTTAAAAAACATTTTAGCCAAATCACCATATGTTGTTAAAGTGGAGCAGATGTATGAATATGTAATAAGAAAAATCGCGCTGTATTTGGTGGTCTTAAAATTTTGAGCTCTGTTCAGAGCGTCCTTGTTAAGATGGGGAGTTCGTGTCCTAACAAGAAAAATCTCACATTAGAAACTTTCCTTGTGACCATAGAATTCGTGTAACTCCATCAGGACGCCTACCATCGGGAAAGAGACCAGAAGGCTCCAATTAGGTAAGAAAACCAGCTGACTAAGTGCAAGAGATATGATTTGATTGCACCTCGAGTGCAATATTTTAAAAAATATTTATAACGGGATAGTTTTAATAAATGTTTAAAAAAAATAAGATTAAATTTTAATTGATATATTTTTTCTAATACTTCAGAATTCAAAATATCAATTTTTTATTAAATAAAAGTAGCGAAAGCTAACTTTTAATAAGCTATTAACGCGCTCCTTTTTTTTGAAAATAGCTATAGCGGCGGTAGGATGCTTTTTGAAACAGCCTATAACAAGACTGTATTCATGAGTTAAATTTAAAATTTCACTCAAGAACCTCTTTTCAGATCAGATACAGATTATTTTAACAAAATTGTCCCGGCTTTTTTATTTCCATGCTCGGTTCCCGATTATAAAACTTTGATTATTTTATGTTTATTTATGAGAAGCAGATTTTTAAAATTTTGTTATTTAAAATAATTTTGATTATACTTTGTGAAAGGTTTTATAGGAAATCTAATGTATGAGAAAAAAAATTAATGTTTACATTTTTCATTTTAAATATAATTTGTTTATTTATTTTGAATCGACCCCTTTCGGGTTTGGATTTAAACTGTGAATTATTACCCCCCTTCCCTTAGAAAAACAAATATGAGGGAATAAATATTAAAATATTTATTTAGAAATAAAATTAATCGACTTCTTATAAATGTGGGTAAATATCCGTGATCATGTGTGTAACATCATCAAGTTTTGTGTGACACTTGTCTGAGTGAGAGTGTGTCGTGACGAAGTATCACCATGACAAAGTGAAACTAAATATTATATATGATTTTGGTTTTGATATTTTATAAATCGTTAACGATTTATCGAAAATAGGCCCATTCAAAAACGAATCAAATTATTAGTTCCCGATTTATATAATTACGAATGGTAAATTATTCAATACATTTGAAGGAATCTAATACGGATTCGTTTTTGAGTAGGTCTAATTAAAAATAATCGTTTAGATCAAAGTTGGCGAAATTAGTATTTCTCGATTGTTTCATATTTAAACCAAGGACCTGGAGAAAAACTTTGCGTAAGGAGTTGGAACAAGAACGGATCCGGAAATGTATGTTCCTGATCAGCTGTAAACTACCTAAAATATCTATAAAATACACATTAAAAAATTATGTTGATAAGTATTCTACAATAAACAAACAAAAAAAACGATTCAGTTCCTTCGATTTTAATTTTTTAAATTTGTAATAAAATATAAAATTTTAATTTAACTCGACTTAATTCCTGATATATGCCCACCTTTAAAAACGTAAAAATTCCAAAATATACTTTATTTAAAATTTATCTCAAAAAATAAATAACCCTCGAATATGACATAAGATTAGTGAAATGCTTAATTATTATTTCATTAAAAAAGAGTTTTATTTGTTTTAGATATATCCTTACATTGTACTTATTACCAAACAACCGGAAATACAAAATCGTAAATGGCCAAATAAAATTGTCCATTTTTAATTCTTCCCATTTTTTAAAAATAACTGTACACTATACTACCGCGAGCTCTGGCCCAGAGTTGTCACATTTTAAATATTAGTCGTATGGCCCATATTAAAAATATATGATAATTTTTTGCAAAATTATGTCAAATAAACCAATTATTTTGCAATATTAAAGAATTATTTCTCATTTTAAAGAAACCCAGAGTTAAATGTTTAGCATTCCCAAGGCCTAAAAATTGCATGTTAGCGAGGGGGTCTAGCACGCATAAAAATCTGCATCTGTTGCCAAAATTTTGAAATCATTATGATTTGGGAGAATTATACCGATTAACAGCAAATCATGGTAGCACACTATAATCTCCTTTATAGGAGTATAAACATTGTATTGACTTCGTCTTTGGAATCCAGCTCAGCCTTGCTATTATTTAATGAAATGCAAAATTCACTTATTTTGCTTCGGCATACTTAATTCTTTGCTTTATATCAATGATATAGATTGGTGATCTGCATCGGGCCTATTTTTTCAAGCCCGGCCCGGTCCGAAATTTTTCAGAAAAGTTTTGCCGGCCCGGCCCGTCTTTGGAATCCAGCTCAGCCTTGCTATTATTTAATGAAATGCAAAATTCACTTATTTTGCTCGGCATACTTAATTCTTTGCTTTATATCTATGATATAGATTAGTGATCTGCATCGGGCCTAATTTTTCAAGCCCGGCCCGGTCCAAAAATTTCAGAAAAGTTTTGCCGGCCCGGCCCGAATCCGAAATTTTTTTTAAAAAATTTACCGGCCCGGCCTGAATTTATTTAAATATAGAAATTAATTTTTATAATTACTCAAAATAAAAGACATATGTTATATGTCGTTTAGTTTTAATAAATAAAATCAAATATTTTTATTTTACATAAAAAATCAATATAAATTTGATAAATTTAGATATATTTAGAAAAATTTCCAAGATCCGACCAGACCCGGCCCGAATTTTTTTAAAAAATATTAGGCCCAGCCCGAACCCGATTATTTTAAAGAGAATTAGGCCCGAGCCTGGCCTAACTTTGCAGATCTTTAATATAGATGATATAACATTTAAAATTTTTGGCTGTAGAATGTACTACAGCGAATGATAAAAGGTCTCCAGCTATACTGTAGAATTTTTAATTGAAAAATTAAATAATAATTAGGAATTTTTAAATCGTATCGCACTTTGCAGAGAACCATGCTTTTATAGTTCTACATCAAGCTCAGGGTTTTCCACCGGACTAAAAATTAGGCGATACTTTATCTATGATGATTTATTAGCACAGAAGTTGAATCATCAAACATGTAATATATATAATTTCATCTGATTGTCTAAAACATAAAACATGTTAATTTTATTTATTTCAAACAAAATTAATCTTTTTTTTTGAAAGGAAGATTATATTTTAAAAATTTCCTTTTTTCGATAGGGTTTGTTAGTATTTAATCTATAAAACCTTTATAAACCTCAACAACAATGAGAATGATAACAAGTTAATCCATAATAGTACATGAATGCAGGATTTAAGCCCTAGGACCAATTTTCAAAATGTGATAATTGTTTAAACGACTCGCCGATTTTATAAAATGACTAACTCAATATTTCGACAAAAAATATTGTCTAAGCTATGAGATTCTGATAATAAATGTCCAAACCTTTGTGCCATCTTTAAGAAAGATTCTCAGGCCTGCGTAATATTTTCTAGATAAAATATAGTTAGCCGTTTTTAAAAATACTCAAATCGAGTGGTGTATTATTAAATTATTTTTCTGGCAAAAAAATGTTCTTTTATAAAATTAAAAAAAGTTTAGATGGAAAAATCTAACTCTTAGGCGATAGAGAACCCTTTTTTAAATCTATCCGAACATAACTTATTTTTAAATTAGTTTTTTTATTAAATCTTTTTAAAATATAACGTTAGAATTTCCTTGGGAATTGGGACGAAGCAATTAGAGAATTTAAATTGATTTAATTTATATAAAAAATGTGTTTATTTTTTACAATTAAAAATTTAGGGCAAAATAAAAAGTTCTAGAACTTAATTTGCAAGGTTATAGGAGGAGGTATATAAATCCTTCCTATATCTCCCTGGCAGCAAGGAGTAGTGAATTAGATAAAAATGTAAGTATCAGTTATCAATTGGCGCATATCGTATTGGTTATATCAATATCACAAGTGTAATTATAATCCTTTAAAAACAATATATTCCTTTCTTGACATTATAATTAAATGATAAAGATTAATGAATAAAATGTGTTTTTAAGTTTAATATAATCGGATATTCAGGAATGTTTCGGAACGTAAGTTTAAAATACTTTCCAAGTCCATGGTTTAAACATGAATTTTTTTAATCTTTTACTTGTGAGATCCACTCTGATTGTATCATAATAAGCTTAATAAACGAAATATAAATAATACATTTTTTATTATTCTGCTTCCTTATCATAATTATCTAAAAAATATATTATAGACAATGCAGGTTTACCTACAACCTTTACCTAGACTGCAAACAAAACAATTAAACTAAACAAATAAATTTATTTATTACTTCTTATTTTAAAAATAATATTTATATTTCATCTTTCTATCTTTGAAAATAAAAAATTTTCAAAAGACCATTAATACATTCAATATAAATTCTCCAAAGATTATAAAACTATAATGACAGCTTTTTTTAATCAAGAATAAAAAAGTATTGTACAATATAAAGAAATTTCAAACTCTGTCCAAGTGTGTATATACAGAATTTATAAACCTTTTTTTATTATAAATCTATGATATTATATAATATATTATTTTTCTTTTTTTATTGAAATTTTATGTTTTATAAATTATGTAAGGGCGAGGGCAAATAATTTAAAACAAAATTAATTAAAGCATAGGTGTTATACTTTTAAAACATATAAAAGAAAAATAAATTTGAATATAAAATTAAGCATAAATTTAAAAAATATCGACAAATTAAAAATAAAATGAAACATAAATAATAACATTAATAATAATGTTAATCAGCGAACGACACAATGAGATTAGAGAGAAATAATATTCATTTCGTGGTAGGTTGGTGCCGGCTCGATTTGGTTAGGCTAAATAATATTATTTATAATATTTTCCTCAAAAACAAGTTATTTAATATTGTATTTAATCTAAAATAAGAGAAAGTTTCAACGTAATGTTTGTTTAACTCAATTTCGCCAATTTTAAAAATATTACGCAAGACTCGAGATTTTGAAAATAGATTCCAAACCTTTCTGCCATCTAGGAGCAAAATATTCATACTGACATAATATTCTTTGGCTAAAATCTTAATTTAAAATAATTAAACAAAACATTTAAAATATAAATTGATTTTTAAATTTTTTACTTTGTATGTGTTTATATGGAGTTAAAAAAATAAATAAATGGAATTGTATTTACCCGGGTAAATTTTTTTATTGCTATCGAGGCATATGAGATGATTGATTGGAGGTTATAATATAAAGGATACCTTTAACTTATTCTGGGCTTCCACATTTGATTTCCTTAACCATTTCGTCTCGGAATGCTAAACCCTGGATCCAATTCATGAGTCAAACTCTGAAAGTGGCCATGTTGCAATCACATCTCTGTAAAAGTCCATATTTAATATTTCAATTGTAAACGTCCATTTTATTCATAAAAATATCTAATTAAGATCATAAATATCCAAAATAATATAAAAGAGTCATCAAATATAATAGTTATTATCATAACTATCCAAAATATGAATTGATTCCAGCTTCCATGTCTTCTCCACCCCAAAAGGCACACAAAGAAAACTCCATTGTTTCACCAAAACCCCATGTGTTCACTCCTTTCAACTCCTATCCCCTAGGAAAAATTAATCCTCATGTCAGAAAATGACTGACAGTATATTATATTAAATTTATTTCTTCTTTTTTCAACGGCTACAACACGCCCACCCTTTACAAGCCCAGCGTCCCTCTCTCTCTGGTGGTATTGTATCGAATCGTCCATTTGAATTGTATCAACTCTCGGTACGCCTTGATAACGTTCAGGGAATTTATCGAATCGTCTCCTTTTATGATGATTTAGAGTATAATATCTTCGATATATTTCAATATATAATCGCTAAAAAAAATAAATAACCATAATGATATTTACATCGTGGTATCCATATTTATAATATAATATACAAGCAAAACATAATAACTCATTCATTTAAATACATTTGGAAATATGAGTTATAGTATATATTATTCGGGGTCTGATTAATGGGAATTAGGAAATAATGATTTTACATATAATACTGTAATGTGAACAAATGGCTTATGTGTGAAATCCAATTTCAACAACATGTTATTTTCCTTCGGTCATGTGAAAAAAACTACATCTTTTATAAATATCTCTTAAAATAGATAGAAAAATCATTTTTAGGTATTAAAAATAATTGCGAAAATTTGCCGAACAAAGATTTTAAGAAAATTACAAGGAATAGGTATAGAAATAAATTTAATATTTTATATGAGAAAAATATATAATACGTAGAAATTAAAATACTTTTCATCTACGAATTACTCAGTATCCTAGGGAAAATATACCATTTCTATTTAACCCTGCTATCACAATTGTCACAAATTCACAGAAATTGCAAAGTAACAAAAATTGAGAATATAATGGGATATATGGTATATATGTTGAGAATTTTTAATATAACATTCACAATATAAAATAATCTGAGTTTTTTTTAAAAAATACATGTTCATAATATACATAGTAAAATGTGATGTGCTATAAAATTATTACAAAGATAAAAAAAAATATAATACGCAAAATAAATTTACAAAAAAAAATTTAAAAAAAAGCTTTCTCAAGTATTTAAACTAAACAATATTTCCATCTTAAGGCATACCCATCAACACATGGCTGACCTTATCATAAAAATATTTTCCTTTTAGTATAATACATGCAAATAAAAAAATTTTATAATTTAAAAAAAAATATATATATTAAATATACAGATTTCATAAAAATAAATATATATTAAATATAAAGATTTCATAATTTTTAAAAAAATATTAAGTGCCATAATTTCTACCAATATATCACATAAATCCATGCCAAATTTATATATATACCAAAAATATCAAACTTATACCCATATATCATATAAATCCATACCAAATTTATATATATATCAAATTCATATTTTGCCCATATATCATATAAATCCATGCCAAATTTATATATATATCAAAAATATCAGATTTATACCAATATACCATATAAATCCATACCAAATTTATATATATCAAATTCATACATTAAATCAAAAATAATTAAATACATCATATGTGTATTTCACATTACATCATATTTCATAAAAATGGTTAATTACTTCAAAATAAATAATATTAACACCCTCCCATTAGATCCCTTCATAATATATCCACCTTCCCTTAATAATATATCAACCTTAATTGAAACTGGATTACATTCACAATATAGTAACATTAATTAATTATAAACCATATGTCTATCCCTTTAAAAACCCAAAATGCATTATATAACAAATATTTTATTATAAAAATCCACTTCTATATAATTTCCATAAACCCTCAATTACACAAATTTATATCTTAATCACACTTAAAATCACCAATCTAATATTTTTTAACCCTATATACACATATATCCCTGCTCATGATAATCCCCAACATTTAAATATTCACCAATCTTTTCTGTCCTGCATTACGTGAGGTCTGTTTTCTTAATGATGGAAACCTATTGGCCATTCAATGAGTCTTAAGGCTTACCAAATAATAAGACAATACCTATTGTCAAACATTGGATGTAAAATATAAATCTAGACATATAATACCACAAATATTATTGTCTTAAATGGCCAAAATGAAGACATCTAATACCACAAATATTATTGTCTTAAATGGACCAAAATGAATCAGAAATAATATATACTATACATCATATATATATATAAATTAATCATTTTATTTTCATTTTCAGTCCTAATACTCATTACATACTTTCTATCCTTTTCCTTATTTGCTAAACATCTAAAACAAAATGCTAAAATCCCTTAATGTCACTTCTTTCTGACAACCTGTATAGTGGTTAATAATTGCGTTGTGTTTACCCTAATGCACCTAAAATTCTGACGTCAACTTGCAACATTGTAAAAGTCCATATTTAATATTTCAATTGTAAACGTCCATTTTATTGATAAAAATATCTAATTAAGATCATAAATATCCAAAATAATATAAAACAGTCATCAAATATAATAGTAATTATCATAACTATCCAAAATATGAATTGATTCCAGCTTCCATGTCTTCTCCACCCCAAAAGGCACACAAAGATAACTCCATTGTTCTTCACCAAAACCCCATGTGTTCACTCCTTTCAACTCTTATCCCCTAGGAAAAATTAATCCTCATGTCAGAAAACGACTGACATTTAGTATATTATATTAAATTTATTTCTTCTTTTTTTCAACGGCTACAACAATCTCCATGAGTTACCTTTATTTAACAAAAATATATAATCTAACATAAATAAAAATATATGAAATCAGAGGTCTAAGGAGATCAACATTTGGATCTATCCAGATTTTTTAAATCAAGCTAGGTTAGGGACTGTATAGAAATTTTTTTGACCCAGCCCGGATTTATTTTTATTAATTCTATGGCCCGGCGTGGAATTTTTAAAATTTCATTATTTTAAATAATTTGGCTCTATTTTTGCAAATATTTAAAATAAATAATTGAAAATATGATCAGTAACTAAATATTAAATGCTATATTATATAATTTTCCAACATTTTTTACAACTGTTTTAATTCAAATACTTATTTAAATCGGTGCTATCCCGATTTCAAGTTTTAGGTGTAGATTTATAGATCATTACTATTTTTCGTGTGTTCCAGGATGGCATATTTCTGGAAATAAATAGGTCCAACATTTTTATCATTTAGGTAATCCACCTAAAATTTAAAAAGAAAATCGGGCTGGGAAAGTTAAAAAAAATAATTTTCCTTCATTTTATTAACTCTTTGGGGTCCACTTATCATGGACAAATTTATTTTGCAAAGGTATATTTAATATAGATCAGAGACCTGCAGAGGTACCATTTGCAAGGCCCGGCCCGGCCCGGTTTTAAATTTTTTAGGCCCGTCCCGGATTTAAAAATTTAAGGCCCGGCTATTTTTAAAAAAAAATTTTTTCGGAATTTTTTAAAATTATATTCGACCTGGTATATACAAAAATTCACCTATGAGGTATTTTACCATATTTTTCAGCGAGTATTATCGCTTATTATTTAAAAAATACATGTAAAAAGCTAATATTTTGAGAATATTATATTGAATTTATAAAAATTATAAAACTGTTATTTATAAAAATGGATATTTTGAGCATATACTATATTTTATATTGCATTTATAAAAATAAAACTAATATTCATAAAAATGGTAATAATATTTTGAGCATATACTATATTTTATATTGCATTTAAAAAAAATAAAACTAATATTTAATTTGTAAAAATGGAAAATATTTTGAGAATATAATATATTGTATTTAATTTACTATTTAATTTATAAAATAAAAATAAATCGCTATTTAAAAAAATGCATGTATAATAAATAGTATTTTGAAAAT